GGAAGGCTCTCCTTCTTCCTTCTTGCTGCATCGTAGGCGACATGGTGAGTGACTTTGTGAAAGTATGCGTGCGTAATCTGCGATCATCGTGCGTGTTATGAGCTTATATTAGATTGTTTCTTTATAGTTGTGTTCCTTTCTCTATAAGGGTAAGTCACCAGTATGTATTTGTTGAAGAATCGCATTAATTTTGTAAAAAGATGAGCAGGTACAAGTGTCCCATGATTGCTTTGTATGTCTTCTAAAAGCTGTCGGTTTTATCCACTAAATATAAGCTTGGGAGACGCTTTGCTGCAATTTGTCTTTTAATATCTTCTGCATGTTCTGTGGAATATATCTGGGTGCATTTTGTAAATGTACATTTTGCATAGTGTGGCGCTGTAGTCATTCACGTGCTGGATTCAGCTTTGCCTTCTCAGATTATTTTTTTGTATCCTCCTCACGTTGTATAACCGTTTGTCTAGAAAATATGCTCACTTTCTAAAGTCTTGTCGGAAATATCAATGCAGTAATGCACTAAATCGTGGCCGTCGTGATCTCAAAACCGAAAAGCGAGGACGTATTGGGAGTACTGGTGTCGTATCCAGTTCAGTATCCCCTGGAAATCTGCACCCCCTCCTCCTATCTCAACACCCCTGATTATTCTCATCCTGCACGAATAAGTCATTTTATATGTAACTCGTAAGGACGAAAGATGCACATGGCCTTTGGGTGAAGTGAACTCAAGATCTCAATCACGCGGCAACCAGTATTTTTTTCACATTTATTCCATGCTGAAAGGAGAAGAAAGAAAACAACGTTTCGACTGTGGAGCCCTTTTGGGGTGCACAGCCTAAACGTTATTTTTTTCTTTTCAGCATGGAATAAACCTATGGTTCCTTTGCGGCCTACGCATGCTGATGCAGCTACCCTCCTGAACTTATTAACCCTTTACACTTTCTTGTATTAGGAATGATCTTTTCGCATACCCCAGCTTGCTCTCCATGAGACACACAGACGGGGAGAGAGCCTGGGGTCAGAGCGCAGGGTCAGCCATTGTACAGCGCCCCTGGAGCAGTTAGGGTTAAGGGCCTTGTTCAGGGGCCCAACAGAGTAGGATTCCTCTACCAGCTGCGGGATTTGAACCGGCCACAGGCGCAGATCCTTACCCACAGAGCCACCGCTCCGCCCCCGGATTTTACATTGATCCCTAGCGATCGTTTTTAAAATATACCGATAAACATGCACACACTGCGGGTTCCTTTTTTATCTATCGGAACAAGCAGATGCACAAACAAGCTCGCAGGAGCTGCCTGTATCATTAAGGACCCTGGGAAGTCTCCTAGAGCGCTATGCATTACGGATGAGGGTGAAGGTTACCAGAGGATGCTGAAATTGATACGTTACCGGACGCGACAGCTGTCACAGTGGGGAGGTTTGGGTTCCCAGCTGTCCGGTGGGTTAATGCGGCAGGTCGGATATTTGTTACGGCCTGAGATCGGGGCTTCCCGATGTTGTGAGCTCGTCTCTCCGGCCCTGATCGAAGCCGTGTCAGTCTTTCTCCGTAGATGACGCGGTCAAAAAGGAGCCAATAGTGAACCTTTTGCCTGACGGTCGCTGCTCAGTTTTTGTAACTGACCAGCAACATACTGGAAAAGGACACTTCACTTTGTCATAACATTTTAAGATTTCCTGTATTGTAGACCTAATTGTATCCTTCAGAATTTCCCACCTGAATGCTGCATCTTAGCCAGTCAATGATTCTCTTTTTTTTTTTTTAACGGGAATATTTTTTTTTTATCAGGGATCTTTGAGACCTGCGATGTGGGATTATCAGTCCCTGGTCATCTTGTTGTATAGTCAGGCTGCGGTGCCACAGTGATGCAGGTAAGAGCCTTTGAAAATGTGGTTTATTGTGATGTGAGGGTTTTAATTACACCAGCCAAAAAGTCCTTAGATGGGGGGTGTCTATTGGCCATTGCTTTATAGGAGTACTTGCTTATGCAGCCAGGCAATTGGGACCAATTGATCTTGTATCCTTGGAAGTACAATGGTCAAGGATGCATCCCCAGAGTCCCAGCTGGGACTTGAGCCCTCACCTTGACTTCGCAGTCCTCGCGTGTGTAGAGGGCCTTGTGCAGTGCGTGTTCTGGCTCTGTTGGAAGGCTCTCTAGCTGTATCCTGTAGCTGGCGGTGTCAAAGGGGAGCCGAAAGTGACTCTTCTGCCGACGGTCGCTGTTCAGTTTGACGGTGACTGATACAGCAACATTGTGGTAAAAGGACATGCGTCTTCAACCGGGGGCCTGTGGACATGTAGCGATCTGGACACTTCAGGCATCTCACCTTTTAATCTGGTTGATTCACTCAGCCTTTTGGGTGAAGGCAAGGGCATGATTGACCCTGACAATTACATGGCAATGTGCTTCTCTTTGTATAGGTGCAGCCTTACTGAGGGAGGTGTGTGCTGAGACCTTTCAGTCATGGGCGCTTTGGGCTGATAAGACTGATGACCATGAAAGTGGGTGACTGTCACCAGGCCCAGTTCCTTTGTTCGGTAAGTTGCTGTATTTTCACTGTGGTCACCCGTGATTCTGCTGTTATGACCCCTGCTGAGGTGTTGAATGTCATTCTCTTACCTCCGTTTGTAGTAGTGGACATTTTATGGGCAGCATGGCTAAGCAGTGGCTATAAGTGGGAGCTAATTCCTTTTAGTCCAGGCCTGGCAGTGATGACACACTTGCCCTCACTGAGAGCATGACTCGATAATGACATCTTTATGTACTCTACTGAGTCAGGTCTGGAAAAGTGGGTTAACTTTGATGGGCATCGGATAGATTGAATTTGCTTGACTGTCTCGGCAAGGTTATTGCTTATCTTTAATATGTTGCCATCACGCTATAAAGTCCAGGGAGTAAAGCTTCTCGGATTGTGATGTTATTCTCCCTTAGAGTTTTAGCTTGAACCCCAGTGCCATGAGCTCCTGAATGAGAGCTGAGGTCTATTACAGTCCATCCCAGTGACGTTCAGACCATGTGAACCTTGCCTGGGACAGGAGCACTGGGACTGCTGTGTAGAGACGGTGTGCAGAGCTTGACTGTGAAATTAATTCTGTGCATCTTCTCTTGCCCAGGGAACTCATCTGCTCTTCATGATCTGATCAGGAAGGAGTAGGATGGTGAGTGTTCATACCAACATTGAAGTGTTGGTTGAAAATGGGATTGCAACAGTGGATTTAACGGTTCACACTGGTTGGCTTGAAACTTGAGGCAGACCAGAGAACCACTCGTGTTGACATTGCTGTTAGTGGTCATCCTGGTTTTAAAAGCCAGATTACGCATGTTTTCCAAGGATCAGAGCTGTGTGCGTAGCTCCTGGTTCTCCAAGAGCATGCCAGAGGAAATGGGGGGTCTTTGACTGTCTGGACTGACATGTCTGGGGCAGCCACTCTACTCTCCAACATCTTGAATAATCCTTGGATCAATTAACTCCCAAAATTCCAGGTGGCCCTAATGGCCTCATCTCTATTTGTAGCCTTTATGTTCCAAAGGACATTTTCCGTCTTCACTCCGGAGCCCTCACTTTCATAGCAAGGAAGAACTTGAGAAGGCTGTGGTGAATTTGGGCTGAAGTCACTTCTGTACGGTGGAGATGTCTAACTAGTTCTCCATTTTTGTTTTCCCACTTCAGGCTGCCTGTATGGATGTGCAGCAGGAGTGGCTCTGCAGGTATGCATTTTTTTCTGCCTTGTGTTTGTTACACCTACAACAGGGATCTTCAGTCCTGTGGGCTGTCTTTGACTATTCCATTGTTTTTAAGTGTGTAACCCAGCAGGTCATCTCAGACAATGATCAAGGTATTTTGAAGTCCTCAAAGATCAGATGGCTCTTATAAAAGATGTTTAATTCAGCAGTAGTTTATAGGTGTTGCTGAAAATTAGATCAATGAGACCATCTAGACTGGGGTGTTCTCCGGGACCAGAGTTGGAGACCCCCAACTTAAAGAAGTTTGACCTTGCTGAGTAGTTGAACTTGCACATGGTGGCTCTGCTGTAGTCTTGAGCTGCAGCTGTAGGCACTGCTGGCCGGTGATGATTCTTAACTACTCCTGGACTAAGGAATGACAGTTGCGGATATGGGACTGAGGCCAGCCGGAGAACTGCTTTTCAACTATGGAGGAAAGCCTGTGTATTAATGTTAAAAGGGCAATAGAAGTCACTACAGCTCATTATTTACTCTAGCTGACTTCTTCTGTACAGGTGGGAGACTGGTCGAGGGATCTGTCCTGCAGGCTCTTGATTCATCCAGGTATGTTGGGTCCTGTGACAATTCTGAATATTGATTTGATTGTAACTACTGTATTTCACCATGATTAATGTACAATGGTATACATTCAAATGACTAAATAAAAGTATAACCAGTTTTAAAAGAGCCTTTGTCTTCTAATTAAAGGGAGAACCAGAAACATGAACAGGTGCTACGTGTTGGAGATTTGAAAATGTAGCTTCTACACAATGTGCCCTTGGAATGTTAGTTGTAATCTTGATGTGGGGTGAGGGGTTTTACAAAGGACACTGCTGTCAGGAATGACATGGTTATTGGAAAGGCCAGCAGGTGCCTTTTAATGTTGGGGGGGGGCAGTGGAATTCTTCTCTTGATGGGTGGGGCTTGTTGAAGTAAACTCATTTAAGAAGCTGCCTTCGGACTTCGTCTAGACAGGGCAGACTGCACTTTTCTTTTAAGGATTGCTTTTTTTTTTTCAGGTTCTGAAGAGATATATGAAGATATGACTCTTACTAATCGAGACCTTTGGAACTTGTCATTAAACAATTTAAATGCATAAGAGTTGTGGGTTTCTTTTTTTGTTTCCAGTTGAAAACTGGTGATCTACTCATTACAATGGATTTGATGTTGCAAATGATCATTGGTATAATTGGAAGTGTTTGGTTTCAGACTAACATGACAAAATGTACCTGAACATGTAATTGCTTTAAAAAATGTAGGTGTTGCTGCAATTAAATGCTTGTGAACAAAATTGTCCCTTTTTGCAGTGTCTGTAGAATGTGGACTTGAGTACATTCCCCAGTGGTCACTTCCAGCTTGAAGTCTAATGTAGTTAAGTTTATAAACTTTTTGTTTGTAGTCGGTTACAGAATTGGCTATGGTAGTCCTGGTGTTGAGGAGGGGGACTATATGAAGGGACTTGAAAGTTCAATGGCTTTGAGTTGGGAGTTTACTTTCTGTATTTATCAACTGGAACTGTTCTACACAAATGGGAACACAGCCCTTCACTACTTTTAATAGTTCCATATAAAACTCACTGGTGCTGGATTTAGTTTCAAACTTATTTCCTCTTTGTATTCCCCCAGAGTACTGACTATACTCTGAATTGAAGTGATTTAAGCTGGTATTTAACCTGTGCCCTAAACTGTTATAGGGATCAGACTTATTTTAAAAACAGTTCATTCATGTTATGCTGAAATACTCCTGTGATGTTTTAAGAATCCAGAACCATGATCTATTGTTGGAAATTCCTAACTCCAGAATTAGGACATGGTTATTCCTGGACCTTAATCTTAATGGGTGGCACTAAACTCTAAAGCAGTTTTCCACAGCACATGAACCAGGGCTAGCCCAAACCCTTCCGTGCAGGGAGTTGTCCAATGTGACTAATGCATTATAACCACCCCTAAATTAAAACTCTCCAGCAAAAACCAGTGACAAAAAACCACACACAGAACTTGAAAACAGTAATACTATATTAGGGTCCATGGCAAGATTTTAAAATCTTCCTCCGTGATCCATCCACCCATCTGTATAATCATTCCAGGACCTGTCCTCAAAACATCATTTGCAGACATGCAAGGCCATACAGATGAAAAGCAAGTGGTTTTATCCAGAACAGAGGTGGCTACATCCAGTAACCCACAGTGCCAACAAAACTTGGCTGAGTAAGACTGCTGGAGGTAGTGATGACACTGGTTTGGCTCTTCAGATATCCCTTGGAGATGGCAAAAGAATCACAACTCCTTGGGAATAAAGTTGTACAATCTCTAGGTGTAGTTAAAATCTAAAATGGCTTCTGTCCTGAAGACCAAGGTCACAGAGGGTCAGGTTTTTCAGTTCCCAGCTTCTTCCTGGAAGAAAATATTTTCATTGTAAGTGCAACATGAACGAATAGGAATAATTAAGAGCCATAGAAATCGGCAACCAGGCAGGATCTTTTATCTCGTTACGTTTCATAAACCCTCCTGTGTAACATTTTATAAACTTAAGTAGCACCAAACCAAATCTGTTGGCAATCTCAGGGGAGGAAAATGACTTCACAAATTAGGAACCATCTAAAAAAAAACTTCAGAGAAGACTTTTATAACCGATGAACAGAAAAGGTACAGATCAAGAGCAAATATTCAAATTAGGGTGATGTAATTAAGAGGTACCAGGTATCAATGATTGGCAAACAGGAACATTCAATGAGAAAAAAAAACATTAAAAACTAAGCAAACACCTGGTTGGTGACATTTAATGAAGACAAAACTAAATTATAAATAGAAAAAACTCAGTTTAAAAAGGTACTGGAGATATTTGGACACTGTTTGAAGGAGTCACATGTCCACAGGTCAGGGTGGTTAGGCGGTGGACGTGCTGTACCTCTGTCGTCAGTCCTGGGAGATGGAGGGTAATTTCAGCTCGGAGATCTCCGAATCAGGAGAGCTGCTCCCACTGCGGTCGCTGTAAGTGTCCCTGTGGGGGACAGAGAGAGACCCGTGAGCCCGCCATTTAGCTACGTGTCAACCCAGTTGTGCACATGGTGTGCGGCGTGGTTACCTTGGCGACAAGCGGCACCCTTTCTGGAGGTAACCCTGCAGCTTCCCCGCGGCCGCCAGCAGCAGGCCGAAGTAGGGGGGCGAAGGCTTGATGGGGCGAGAGGTGAACTCGGGGTGGTACTGAACCCCCACAAAATATGGGTGGTCTGGGGAATGAGAAAAAAGGCAAGCTTATGCAGCGCAGCCCAAGAGCGCAGTGCGCCTCACTGTGGGTGGACAATCGGTGACAAGGAGTATTCGTAATTACTATTCAATACCAGTACTCTAAGACTCTGAAAAGATCACTGAAGGAAACGTGTTCTGGAGTTTGAAGCATTGAGTCACAAGAATATGTGGTCACAGTAAACAGTCCAGTTTCCACAAGGGAGGCAGTCTAATCTTCAACACAGCAGCCAAGCTCAGTGGTTTGTGAAGACAAACTGCCGGACAGTCCTTTCACAGCAGACTGCAGCTCATTTCCTACTGTTCCCTTCAGTTCTGATTTTGGAGTGCTACAGGAAATACCCACCGTCCAGCTCGATGACCTCCATCCTCTCGCCCTCCATGTCCTGGCCCACAAACCGGAACCCCCCGCTCTCGAAGTGCTGCTTGAGCTCGGGGTTCACCTTGGGAAGAGAGAGGGAGGTGTCCAACACTGGAGCCGAAGTGCTCATGGGTCACCCTCAAATCATCTGCTCCCAATCCCCTTTCCAGTTGACCACTTGAGCAGGTGATTAATATACAGTTAACCCCTTAAGAGATTATCACAAATTTACTAACACTCGCTGTCAAGAACCACAGCTGATCATTTGTAACTTAATTGAACCAATTATTAAAAATGTGTCAAAAATCATGTGTTCCAAGGATGGCCTTATAAACCTGCTGGATTTTGGTTCTCGAGGACAAGGGATGGACATCCCTAGCCTGACAGAGACAGGCCTCAGGTATTCTACAATAAATCAAGGACAGTTTTCCATGATTTTTTTCTGTAGTTTCCTATAACCACCATGACTTCAAATCCTCAAAACAATTTTACTGTATATCTTACTAATAAATATGCTAAATGTAAATAAAAAGGTATTTTTGTTTCAATTCATGGTAATTTAACAGTGCATACCCTTTATTAGGTTTATACACGTTTGGTAATTGTTTTTCCAGGCTTTTCCTGGATTATTTTCACCATATGGTGACTTCTAAACCAGGAAACCCTGATCTGAATCAGAATCAGCAGGGCCAGCACCAATCATTTAGTACCTCAAAGCGATGTCTGTGTCTCTCATCAACATATTCTGCATCTCCATACAGCCTTCCTAAAACAGAAAATCTGTGAGTCCAGGAATTTTTAAATGTTAAAACAGCGCAAGGTGACATATAGCAGGAAGACAAGCTACACAGATAGTAGTTTCTGTGTTTCTTACTCAGAATGGAGTTGGTGCTTTTGAAGATAGTTCGTCTCTTTCCCAGTCTCATAGTGCCACCCATCTGGCCAGGGTTGTGTTCTGGCATGTCAATCACCTGGGAGAGACCAATCAGAAGTCAGCCTGTGCACCACATGACTCAATTAAAAAAATGCCAAGAAATGGAAGATGACCACATGGCAGTGTGCTATCTGAATGTGCAGGAAGGTCTCTGGCGACAGGACAGAATCAGGAAGAGGGGATACCTACTACTGGGTGTTTGGATTCGGGGTCAAATTCAGTCGAATTGGCATCTGTAAAGAACATATACCAAAACAAAAATCAAGAACTTCTGCAAAAACCACAAAGCCAACATTCTGTATTCATTTAAAAAGAACTGCTGCTTCCCTTGAGCTTAGTGCAATCAAAGCACCCACTGTTAAAATTTGCTTAACTGGAATTATGATTTCCAGAGTTGTGATTTCATAGATGAAAGATTACTCCGGTTAAACATACAGTGAATAGTGCTGTACAATGAACAGACTGACAACAGAGTGTCGCCACCTGTGTGCAGTCCACACCAGCACACTGCCCTCCTCTGCCCATTATGGTGGGGTAATTCTGCATCACAACAAATTCACACCAACCTCTTCAATCTCAATGGCAAGGCTCACTGAACTAATATAGTAGTATTATACAAAATGTTCTGCAAAGTCCATCCTTTGTCAGCTTACGTTTTTGAAGGTTGCATTTTTTCCCCCAATTCCCTTTTTTGTCACAAGGAATTATGTCAAACACATGGAAGGAGGCTTACAAGATAGCAGTATGGAGTGTTACAGTATGTGTCAAACAGTTACATTCCAGGACTGTTCTCTCTCCCCCAGCCCAAGTCCAGAATTCAGCCTCTGGAAGGAGTTATGTAAACAACAGCTGCTGGACTGACGTTACAGCAGGAGAGAAACTGTTGCTCAACTCTGAAAACTGCAGCCATACCGAGTGTGTGGCAGTCGAGGACGTACCTTGCCAGCCAAGGATGTTCCTGGCAAACTCACACACAGCCAGCTGCATCCCCAGACACACTCCTGCAAGCACAGGAGCAGGACAGGCAGAATGACATAAAAAATACATCTTGCATTGTGTTTTACTTTGAACTTTGAAGAACACTAAAGCATTTGAGAAAAAGGCTCACAGAAACAGTCATACATTTCAGATTACCCTTAAATTCTGCACCTCATAATATCTGCACAGATTTTTACTTTTTTTTTTAATAGGATGGGTGCGAGCATCAGGCTGATTCTCCATAGTGCCTCTCTGTGTGTGCCACCTGTCATCCTGCACTCAGACACAGAGATGATGCCAGTAGAGAGCCACGTCCTCCATTCTCACCTAAAAACGGCTTCTTCTGCTTTCTCGCCCAGCTGATTGCTTGGATCTTTCCCTCTGTCCCTCGAACTCCAAACCCTCCAGGAACCAGGACGCCACTAAACACAGAACACACTTGGGTCAGAACAGGGTCTGTGCGATGTTTCCTCTGGACTGCAAGTCCCGAGACAGTGGTTTCTGCTAACTCCAGCGAGACGGTTACTCTGGCTGATACAAAAATAATTTCTTTCAGCCTTCATAAAACAGAAATACACAGAATGTCTATAAATACAAAAACATGGCCTTGTTTAATTAAAAATATCAAGACAGTTAAAAACTCTGGAAGAGTAGACACTGGAAATACTGGGGGCATAGGTTCTTGTGCTACAGGTTTTAACGTATACTTGTATTAAAGAGTTCAGACAATTAAAGTAACACTACTGAAGAGGCCAGAGGCTGAGACTTACTTGGCACTACAGAGTTTCTGCCAGGCCTCGTGGTATCTGACTGGCTCCTCCTGCAGGGTGCTAGGTTCCAGATCAGCAGAGTCAATGTACTAAAAGACAGGCAGGGAGGAAACAGAAAGTGAGGAGAGGTGGGAAACACTGACTAGTCATTGCGAACAAGAAAAACTCCGGCCTGTGTGACCTGATCGGTCTAACGTGAAACATCAAGCGCAGGAGTGTGTACACAGTCCTATGGGAAACGGAGATGCTGGTGCTACATTTCCACAGGCTGCACAAGCTGACAATCCAGTTCCACCAGATCAGCATGCAGATGATGCAACAATGCTGCCTGCAAGACTCTGTCCCCCGGTACACAAAGGAGCCCAATCACTTGGACCACATGCATGAAGAGAATGTAATAAAATGGGCACAAGGTGATCTTGAGTAAATTAGTATCCCCGCTGTACCTTGACCTCCAGTTTGTGATTGATCGCGAGGGCAGAGTGCTCCAGAGCTTTGATGACGGAGGCATACGAATCCGAGAACTTGGTGTACTTTCCCACCAGCGCGATAGAGCAGCTCTCCAGCAAGCGGTCGGACCTGGGGCAGAAAGATGGGATCTCTCGTCACATACAAAAAGTAAAAGGTGTCCAAAATACTGACATGACTATAAGAAAACTCCTAACTTTACTCTGAAGGACAAAGTGCAATGATGGCTGTTAACTGAAATATTTAATGAAAGACATGCAAAGCAGTCCACAATCCTGTTTTTTTTTAAATGTTTAAGACTGACAGGTTAAAACATGCTCCTTGCTGCCATTTTAATTTGTTTCAAGTCATCTACTTTTTCTCCCAATGTTAACGATGACATCCGAGTACCTTACTTTGTACTTCTATCAAATTTGTCTGGTATGCAGGGAACCAGACAGTAGGACTTTACCTGTAATTTTGTATATTTAGAAAAATAATTTCTAATGGTAAAGGAGTATCAAATACATACTTATTCTTCAGATGCCAAAACACAGTATATGAAAAAAACAAACCCAAAAATTTAAAGGTGGTTTTAAAACAGACACACCCCTATTGAGGAAAGTCATTCAGACAAGCACGTGGTAAAACACATCCCCGAACCCCACCTATCTGACATCTCCTTCCACTTGGTCAGCATCCTGCGGGGCCGGGACTCTATGGGCAGGTCCAGCCGATCGCAGAAGTAGCTGACCACCCCCTGGTCTTCCAGCAGCAGGGGCACTCTGTAGATGGAGGACACGTCATGCACGCAGATCACCTGGAAGAACAACGCCACAGCCATCAGCCTTCTCAGCGACCGTCTGCATCAGGCTCTGCGTTGCGTGCATAGCCGGGATTCTTGACACAGGCTTCGGCCTGCTCGGTTTTGTGCCTGGTGTTTTGCCACGGCTGCATTCTCTCAACAGCAAGGGTGTTCACTTCCTCTCTCAAATCCATTCCGCACGGCAATAAAAACTACACAAGAGCGAACGACAGCGTAGGCTTCCAGTCTTAGAAAACTGCACAGTGATGGCCGACCTTGCATTATCTCTTTTAAAAGTGCTCTTTTATAGCACTTTTGGCACTGTTTCGCCAGTTTAATGCGTCCAAGGCCAAGAGCCACAGCCAAACCTAACTCTAAGGTTCCTCCTGTAATGTGGGCGCAGACTTCCATACAATAAGCCCCATGGAGACCCAAATTGAGAAACCACCTATTGTCCCATTAAACATGTAAGCCTCTCGGAAACATCGGACTCAATTATATAGACTAAAACCAACAACAGGACAACTGTGGCCTACCTGTTCAGGCTCGACGTGACAGAACATGGAGATCTTCTCCTTCACAGCATTGTCCAGAGGAGTGGAACAGCGGCACACAATCTATAAAAGACAAGAGAGTAAAGAAATGTCCTTCTGCAGACAGGAAAACGAGTCCTGATGCCCTTTGATTCCTCTCGTTACCCAGAACAAAAGAACTGAACGGAATCCTCTCAGTTTGGAATTTTTCTGATGAAAAATCACTTTCACGATTACCTTAATAATAAGTTACATGAATAATAATTCCTTAAAGAAGTACAATGGTTTTCATCCCAGAAAAAGCTTTATACAAAGGTGGAGACCCATTTCTTTCATGGGTTCTGAATGATATCGCCAGGTCACAGGGGTTAAACTCCATTGCTCTTGCAGTGATACAGGGAGCTTAAATGACCCAGAAGTCGAGACTTATAATATTAATCCCAGCTGAAGAATGGTATTCTACAACCCAGTAACCTCAGTCACCACAGCGGTGCATGAGCTGGGACTTTCTGGTCCAGAGAAAAGAGCGCCTCCTAGTGCTCCACCAAAACACAGCAGCAACCTGGTTCTGCCACGCCAGTAGTCCAATACTGACCCCACCCAGATCAGGCCATGAAGCAGTAACGCTGCTGCTGAACTTTATATGTGTTTTAAACATTTTGAACTTACTAGCCTGTTTAACTATAACTGTGCTTGGCCTGTTATATGACTGTATCACAGGAGGGGAAAGCACTCCTTCGGACTACAGAGGTGGGACAGAAGGAAGATATGAGGCAACAGAAGACGTCGTCAGAAAGGGGAAAAAAGAGAAACTGGAAGAAAACATTTGAAAACAAAGGGAAGGGCATCGACAATGAGACAGACTGACCAGGTCGGGCGAAAGGCCCAGTCCTCTGAGCTCTCGGATGCTGTTCTGCGTGGGCTTCGTCTTCTGCTCCCCTGTGGCGCTGGGCTGTGGAGAGAGGGACCGAGACTTGGACCCTGAAGCACACCCTGACCATGCCGAGGAACCGCAAGGCCAACAAAACCATCAAAACCAGCTGAGAATAGAAACCAATGCAAAGGAGCTGGAAAATAATCAAATCTGGTGTGCTCCAGGGGTAGGCAAGTGTTTTTCACCAACCAGTAGGACAACAAAGCTCAGAAAGCAGCTTATGCTACACATGGGGATTCAGGAGCCCGAACACTGGGAAAACGGCGCCAGCGGGGCTCGTTTATTAAGGACGAGGTAGGTCTCTTACCTGTGGAACAAGGCTGACGTGGATGTTGCAGAAGTTCTCCTTCTTGACCTTAAACTGGAACTGGCGAAACGCTTCGATGAAGGGCATGCTCTCGATGTCTCCCACCGTTCCCCCCAGCTGAAAACACACACAGCCCTTATGAGACGCTCCACTTAAAACACCCAGCTCCCAAACCCACAGCCTCCAAAATCAAAAGCCAATCTGAAGCGCCAGCCCGGCCATCCAGATACATCAGACCCCTCTAAGCCTAACCTGCGCCCTCCACAGTGGAATCACCTAACTCAGAACCACCCCACACACCCCATCACAGTCAAAACTGGGACTTAGCTGTTCAACTCCCGCACCTATGCCTGAGTAGGCACTCACTCAACTGGGAAATCCTTTAACAGACAGACACGCAAATCTAAACGTTTATCAGAGCCAACAGGTATTACCTGCAATCCAATTATGGATATCTGTTAGGCCTCTTATAAGACTGTAGCAGGAATAAAGGAATAAAGTGCAACAGGCCAGTGCAATACTGAGTGATGAGCAGTCGTCTTGCAAGGGGTACAGTACCTCGATAACACAGACTTGGGGTTCCATGCCATCGTCATCCACAGGGATCTTGGCCTGGCGCATCACCCACTCCTGGATGGCATCTGTGATGTGTGGCACCACTGAAGAAAGAAGACAGAAGACATTCGACCTGACACAGTGTGGGCCATCCCCTGTTCACTGCCCACCCACAGGTAACTCCTCTACTCCTGTGACAAAATACTCGGGGAACAGGCTTTACAAACCATCACACACTGCGTGAGCTAGCAATTCATTCGTAACAAGATCAAGTTACCATTAATAAAGTCAGGTTTACGGGGTGAACGAATTTCAGGAACTCTCTGGAATGCAGGTTGTCTCTGTATCAGGAAAGATCGGCTGTGATTTTCGCTTGTTTCACACACGCGCAGCGATGAACATTCCAACACCGTAGGGAGTGCTCACCCTGCGGTCTGTGTGGGTCCTAATGCCCCAGTATAGTGAAGAGCATTCCATACTGTAAAAAGGTGCCGTCCTTCGGATGAGATGTAAAACCGAGGTCCTGACTCTCTGTGGTCATTAAAATTCCCAGGACTTTTCTTGCAAGAGTCGGGGTATAACCCCAGCGTCCTGGCCAAATTTCCCCCTGACCTTTACATATCATGGACCCCTAAATAATCCCCATCTTTTAATTGGCTTCATCGCTCTGCTCTCCTCCCCACTGAGAGCTGGTGCGAGGCGAGTGTACTTGTGCACTATGGCTGCTGTCGCATCATCCAGGTGGGGCTACACATTGGTGGTGGTGGAGGGGAGTCTCCATGACCTGTAAAGCGCTTTGAATGGAGTGTCCAGAAAAGCGCTATATAAGGAGCCATGCAAGGAATTATTATTAACACCGACATCCTTCAAAAAATAATGGAGACACTATTTCAAGTCCATGGTCTCCAGTGTTCCCTGAGGTTTAAATGTTCCTTCGCGGTCTACAAGCGTCCTCTACACCAGTCTCTCCCCTGCCACTCGTGCCCGTGTGGTTCCTCCAGTCCAGCACCTCCCTGCCCGCCTCTCTCTCACCCTGCACAGTCTTGCCCAGGTAGTCCCCTCGGCGCTCCTTGTTGATGACTGACTGGTAGATCTTCCCCGTGGTCAGGTTGTTGTCCTTGGTGAGCCGGATGTCCAGGAATCGCTCGTAATTGCCCAGGTCCAGGTCCACCTCCCCTCCGTCATCCAGCACGAACACCTCCCCTGGGCGGAGACAGAGCACGTTGAACGCACACCCACAGGACGACACCCCCCCCCACCTCTGGCCACGAAGACCAATCAGAATCTGTCCGCCAAGCAGTCACCCTGGGGTCATCCAGCACACAGCACTCCCTTCGCCCCCAGTGCACACTCACTCTTACCATGCTCGTAGGGCGAGAAGGTTCCTGCATCTATGTTAATGTAGGGGTCGATTTTGATGGCAGTGACATGGAGCCCACAGGACTTGAGTATCGTGCCCACGCTGCTGGCGATGATACCCTTGCCTATCCCCGAGATGACCCCACCGGTGACCAGGATGTACTTCATATTGGTCAGCAGAACCTGGGGAACGAGAGAAGGGATGTAGCATTAACGCTCGGCATGAACCATACGCGAGCTGTCTCTCGGAGCGCCAGAAAAACCGAAGACCCCGGCATCTCTCAGAAGACGACAGAAATGCAACCGGGGCGCATTTCCGAGCCGAGCGCCGGCACGGTAACCCGACACGTTGCGCAACGGACCCGCGCGCCTTCACGGGGACGTCCTCCCTGGTTCCTCGCCCCACGCCTGCAGCTCATTGGCCGAGAACCGGAGGGGGGGGCGGGCTCTACACAGCGGAGCTCGCTCGCAATTGGTGCCACACCAACGTCCTTATGTCACCTCGTTTCAGACTGTTCCGGTCAAAACAATTCAAAATACACCTCCGGCCCCCACATAAATCGTCTTATAATGTTTCACAGGGCCATAATATTCGACAGTAAAATTAGAATTACAGTAAAATTACCTAACGTCCGTTCCCTGTGCCAGATACACTCACAATGCAACTCGTGGCACACGAGTATACACGCGTTCGCGTGGTGTCGTTAAGTAAATAATATCGATCTTCTTAATACATATTTTTAAGTTCCCCTCGACTTGCTATCGCACCTCCCCTCCGGTATTATCAGCGCTCTGTGAATTTATTCATTACACTGCGAACCAAAATTAAAACAAAAGCCTTAACGCGGAATCCGTCCAAAGAATGCGTCATTTATTTCCGCTTCCAAATGTTACAATCAAATTTCAGTGCTCACATTTTTGCCCCACGTTTTGTCTTTATGAGGGTCGAGTATAAGCAGCGGAGAGCAAAGAGCGAAAATGGTGGTGGGTGAGTTGTAAGAGATGGCGGGGAATGAAAATGCGCCAAAAAAAATCAGCAGTACTATTTGTAGTGTGTAAAGCGTAGTGTAAGTGTAAAGCAAAATGAAGATGGGACAGCGAGGTTTAAAAAAATAATAATTACCAGCTGAATGTGGGAAAGCAGCCGTAAAAAAACAGATGGCCAAATATTTTGGCTCCAAATGGTTAACCAAATACGATGAATAGCAGTGCGAACAGAACCATCCCATTATTTTCAACCTTAAAGAATGTAACGTAGAACAAGTGGAAAATTAAAACCCCCGCAAAACCCGCAGCCATCACCTCGGCTATCCCCGATCACAAAAGCCCGAGTCCCGATCGCTAGTGTCAGGCTGGATGCACGACCATCACTCACCGGGAAACCGCTCTCAGCTTTTCAGCAAACCAGTACTCCCGTGGGCGCTGCAAAGCTCCACTCGGCCTCCGAACAGCGGAGAAGAAAGGTCCCGGCTGGCCGACCCGGTTCACGTGTTGGACACGGAGCAGAGGACACGGTCCCCACGTGTGCGGGAGAAGGCGGGGGGGGGGGCACCTCAGCGTCGCGAGACGGGGGGACAGGATGCTGCGTCTCTCCCGGGAGCGCGAAAGGCATCGTGGGAAAGCGAGGCGCTGACAGGAAACCTGCGAGCCTGGTCGGTCTGGGTCTCTCTAGAACTGCAGCGCCAGCCGACGACAGTACATTGTTCCGACTCGATAGATGATCACACACCATCGCAGTAACCACCTTTGTTCGGGTGTGCGTGGAAAGACATTTTTTCCCCCAGTAGCCCAGCAAGGAATGAATGAACATCGCCAATGTTTTCCAGTTTCTTCTTTCATGTTTTTTACAGTTACGAAAGCAAGACTCCAGTTCCACCACAATTTGATACTTAGGTAAACACTAAACAACTCTTCATGTTAAAATGATAAAGAAAACAGAGTAATACTTCAAAAATGTAATAAAAGGCAAGTTATTAAACAGAAGTGCTAGCCGCTTTAAAGCAGAACTCAAGAGCTGTGGTACTGGACTCCTGTCTTTACTTCCTCTGTGTTCTTCCTCTTCAGGACTGTCCCTCAGCTCTTCATTAAACTCGCTGTGTGCACCTGGACCCCCTACAACACACAGTCTGACGCAGTCACACAGTACACAAAGCACACAAAAACAAGTATTGTATGCACAAAAAGGTTACAGACACACAAAGTCATAGATGAGAAGAACGACAGGGGAAATGATACTGAAATTCTAAAAAAACAAAACAAAACAAAACAATGCCAGTATCATAATACTATGAAGTCCCCCAGGTGACAGGACGTGTCTTTCTGGTCAACAGAAGATTCTGCTTTGACCTGTCTGACAATTACCAATTCAGTACTTGATTTTGTATCAAGTAATGCAACGCTGCCACCAAATACTGGATTTGTACATTACTGACAGGTGAGGTATAATTCTCCTTTGAATATTCCCCCTATCCAACCACTGTATCCTACTCAAAAAGATTAGGGGTGTAACCCGGGCATCCTGGCCAAATTTCCCATTGGCCCTTACCAATCATGGCCTCCTAATAATCCCCATCTGTGAATTGGCTTCGTTGCTCTGCTCTCCTCCCCACTGAGAGCTGATGTGTGGGGAGCGTTCTGGCGCACTATGGCTGCTGTCACATCATCCAGGTGGACTAAAGAGGTGATTGCGAAACTAGAGGCATAAAGCACGTGCTGAAGTAGCTGGCCTCCCACGAAAACAATTCTCCTTGTAATCACAAGTCTGTGCCGCTAGGTGACACTGTAACAATTTTCTTTCTACGAAGTCACGCTTTTATTCAATTTGTTTTTAGAATGTGAAGATTTTGTAAACGCTGATTAAGGATTCAGAAAAACGAAGCAACCACGAATCTCAGATTACACATTTGTAGAAATATATTTTTTATGCCAAATGTCAATTACCATGTCTCGTATTTTTAGACCCTACTCTGTTATTCTACATACTATGGTCGGAGATACTTCCATAACCATAAAGGTCGCAGCTACATTTCTGTTTACGCTGTACATAATTTTAAAGTAGTGGTTCTATTTAAGTCGAGCTATTTTTTTTCCCTTTCTCGCTAGGGACGAAACTGTACAAGGCTGGATAAAATAATAACAACTTTTATTGCTGGACGTCACGAAGACGAACTTTATTTCTCTGCTCAGATAAAGCGAAAACGGCCAGAGTCAATGTTTAAAAGCTCCGCTGTAATACATCAAACTCGAAATCACGTGAGGCTTATCTCCCTTCTGCATATAACTCGATATGCATGTTTTATTGCAGCTGGGGAAGAGCGCAGAGAAAAGTTCGACCGGTTCCCGTTTCTTTTTGAAAGGCTCTCCTCCGAGCTCCGTTTTGCAGGACGAGACATTGCGGGCTAAAATGACTCCATTGAGGAAAAGCATTACTTTGTACCTACTTTTCAGCTTCTGTCGGGGACTGTCTGCTCTCGGTGAGTCAGATCTGAAAGCCTGCTTGTCTAATTAGTTCAGATGTTTCCAAGCTAGAGTGACAAGTAGGGTCCTGATGCCAAACTGTGTTTTCAAGTTGTGCAGTTATGTGCGAATCCCAAAGAAAGTAACAGAGAAGCGAGGATTTGGTATTTTAAGAGCACTGCCAAGATTCACATGTGTTTTTCTTGGGAGTACCGGACAACCAGAGAGGGCTATGTATGGTGGGATTGAATCTTGAAAGCAATGAGAAAATATTCTTTAGATGTGTTAAATATATTTGAGTCCACCTTGCTAGCAACAATGATAAGCCGGGCATTGGTGTTTCACGCACTGTTTCCTGGCTATTAAAAAAATACCAGCTACTGAGATTCTATTGAATCATATTTTCAACAGGATAACACGATGTCAGTTACGGTAATTCGGTATGGTACAAAGCTAAGCGTCCATGTTAGACTTATTTTGTTATAAATCTGTGTATTATTATTCACTGTGTGCTAATGACATTGCTACTGTATATGCAGTCTCTTAATTTCTGCCTCATCTACAGTATATACTGTTCTTATTTTGTTGCTCAGAGCACAAAACGAATCCAAGTCAGTTTTACTATTTTCAAATCGTGCAATTCGTACGTCCAGTATTAGCCTCTGCTACAACACTTCTGTTTCAGTATCGGTATATATTTCTCTTTAATCAGAGATAATGTATAACAACCTTTCTAAATAGGTAAGCGTAAGCCTTGAACAGGTGGACGCATTTTCACAGTTCTCTTCAAGTTCGCCTTACACTTTCAATATATTTGTATCCTGAACACCTGTACGGAGCCTTCTACAGCTCTGTTGTATGGCTGGAGATGCCAGGAAGTCCTGAATTACTGCAGCACCGCTTCAGTCGCAGCTGTGCAGCTTTTGCTGAAGGATACTCTGAGCGAAACGTGGTAGATGTGGACGTTGCTCACGTGGTACTGTTTTGCTCCTACAAGTTTAAAAATTTGTTCACACCTCTTCTATATCGTTAACAAGTTAAATGAAGAGACTGTGTATAAAAACTCAGACCTGTAAAGTTACATTCAAAGTTTTCCGACATGGCTAGACCTGATTTACATTTGAATTGTTAATTCGGTTGTTGCATTGTTAGCGGTGCCTGATTGTTAGATGGTGCCTGATCTGATCATCATCTGAATTCTGGGAGGTGGGGAACAATCCGCTCACAGAAAGCGACGCAACTACAAGTCTCTTGCAATGTTAGACTCTCGGGAAAAATAAAATCCCATTTTGTCCTCCCATTGGTACGGGCCTTTACACCAGATACGCCCGGGGTTAGGATTCAGGGACTCCTGCATGTTAATGTCTTTCAGGTCAATTCTGGCACATCACAGACCTCCACTGGGACCCAAAGTACAAGGTGACAGATGATCCCAAGACTGTCTGTCCATCCAGTGGCTCCCAACCTGTGCCGAATGCTGGGAAGTTTGGGGATTACCTCTGCGACTCTCCCTGGGCTCTGATCAACTCCTCCATCTGTGCCATGAGAGACATCCTGCCTGACCCAGATTTTATTGTCTGGACTGGGTACTGACGCACCTCTCAGAAATCATCACCAATAGCCACTCGTCTTTCCCTAGTGCTTTCCAGCAAGTTAACATTCCTTAATTTTGTCCTCTCCAAGAAAACACATGAGCACAATGAAGTCTGGCACTGCAAAGCGGAAAGTGATCAAACTTTTTGGGGCAAAATAAAATCAGTACGAAACAGGCTGCCTTCTGCACATGGGAAGTATTTCTGTTTCCCCCACTTCAAAGGGTTTGAAATAGAATCCCAGCTCTCGATCAGTGACCCTGTTAGCCCATTATTTGGCTTAAGCAAAAAGCCTTGTTTTTATGTGTTTAGTTTAAAATGGAGAACAGAAAACAAGTTTGCAGGCGAAAAGGTTTACGTTTTCAGCTCTCTTTTCCAGGGGCGTTCACACAGGCAAACATCACGAAACGAGAGCGGCTGTGCAGTCAACAGTCACTCAGGGGAACAGTGAGGCCAGATGGGCAGAGATCGCTGGGGTTGAGCCCCTTCTATCTTCTCTCTTTAGTTTGGGATGACTAGAGCAAGGCAGTTGATGGAGAGAAGGGCAGCTCTGAGCAGTCCTTTCACGAGCGTGTGTTCTTGACAGGGATGACACACCTCATGTGCCTAACGAGCAGCTGGGGGAAGAAGCTGTCCTCTCCATCATTGGTAACCTCACAGACATCATTCGGCAAGTGTTTCCAGGTAAGTCCCCAAGGACTGCTTTCATTGTCTATCCATACATGGAAAACTAGAACAATATATATACACACACATCACTGTTGGACCTCCATCTGGAATACTGGACCATACAGTTAAAAGTCATAGTGCATAGTACCTATTTACAGGATCTATTTCCTACAGAATAGTGCAAGACGCAGACCTGGGCCACTATCTGCATGGACTTTGTATGTTCTCCCTGTGTTCATGTGGTATTCCTCTAGTTGCGCTGGTTTCCTCCCACAGTCCATAGACATCCTGGCAAGAGTGTGTGCACCTCTGAGTCTGTATGTATCTTGCCATGGACTGGAGTCCTGTTGCTTGCCAGGATAGGCTCCAGCTCTCCCGGGACTTTGTATTGGATAAAAGCTGTTCGAAAATGGAAGAATTGATGAATGGATGGTGCGAGACTAGACCATACCATAATGCAGCTCAGATACAGTACGCTCCACAATTGTCTTAAGCACAGTGCTGGATGGAGGGCTTATGAAGCCCGGTCAGCAGTGTCACAGTATGGCCCATAAGAGTTTCCTCTGAGCAAATCTTAAAATACTCGTGCTGTTCCACAGTTACTTGCTGACCTCTTCCAGCACAAGAACACAGCCAATGGCAACAGCAGAGTTCGGCAGCACGTCTTTCCATGGGTCTCAGCAAGCCATGTCAGCTCCCATGGCTTGCTCTGGCAGAGTAGGGTGCCTCGGCTTTCCCTTGATAAGATAGTAATTGCAATGTAATTGTGAAGATTTCATTGGTTCACAAGGTGTCCAATTAAGGACTTTCCTCCCACGTGTCAGAATGCCCGCCAGAGAGAGAACTGAAGTGAACATAAATTGAAGGCTGAACGCAGAAATGTAATGGCGTCTGGTGAACCTGGAGTTGCTAAGTGTCTCTGTTTGCCCGCTGTAGATACCAAAGTCTACTCTGCTTTGGGCAACCATGACTTCCACCCCAAGAGCCAGCTGCCTGGGGGGCCCAACTACATGTACAACAGGACCGCTGAGCTCTGGCAGGCCTGGCTGGAACCGGAGTCTCTGCACACCTTCAGGACAGGTACCAGGAAATCGGACATCATGAGGAGCTGCTCCGCTTCCCTTGGGATTCGAAGCCCGTATGGAAATGACTGTTGTGGCAATGATCAGTATCAGCAATAGAGTTAGCATTTCAATCAGATTTTCATTGTTTAGTGTTACAAAATTAAGTTGCACTAAGTAATTAGCGTCGCACATTGGGCCAGGATGGTGGTGCTGGAATTAAAAACAAAGTAAAGTTAAATGTGGATTTCCCAGCATGCTGTCTGTAATCTCATTCTTTCATCAGGTGGATACTACACAGAGAAGCTGCTAAACCGTACTGGTCAGCGAGTAATCATCCTCAACACTAACCTCTACTATGACCAAAACATGCAGACTGCAGAGCTAGAGGACCCAGCTGGCCAGTTCAAGTGGATGGACAATGTACTGACCAAGGCAGCTGTTGATCAAGAAAAGGTCAGCACAGGAAGTACAAGTTTGGTTACATAACTGGTTGCTTGTTTGCTAAGTGACATCTTGAAAGTCTCGCACTGTCATCAGATCCATTTTTCTTTGATGGACCCAAGAAAAGCAGCCCTCTAGTTTTGAGTTCTGTGATCTGTCCAGAGTCTGACAATGATATTGTTGAACTGTGACTCTGCCAGGACTTTGAATGCCTCAGTTAAATGTGTTTCATAATCAGATGCTATAGCTGGTAGAGGCTCAGTCACAGAATATGTTCAGCAATCATATACTGTATGATTAAAAGTGCAGGCAGTACTGTAAACCTCAGAGTTAGGATTGATTAGCATTAAAAATATTTCACAATTAGAGCAAGTAAAACAAACAAAATTCCTTACACTTTTCTGGACACTCCACTCAAAAGAGCTTTACAGGTAATGGGGATCCCCTCCACCACCACCAGTGTGCAGCCTCACCTGGATGTTGAGATGGCAGCCATAGTGCGCAAGTACACTCAACAAATATCAGCTCGCAGTGGGGAGGAGAACAGAGTGATGAAGCCGATTCATAGATGGGGATTAGTAGGAGGCCATGATTGGTAAAGGCCAATGGGAAATTTGGCCTTGACATTGAAAAACACCCTGGGATTTTTAATGAACACAGAGAGTCAAGACTTCGGTTTTATGTGTCATCCAAAGGTCGGTGCCTTTTTACAGTATGGTGCCCCCATCACTACACTGGGGCATTAGGACCCACACAGACTGCAGGGTGAGGACTCCCTACTGGCCCACTAACACCTCTTCCAGTAGCAACTTTAGATTTCCCAGGAGGTCTCCCATCCAGGTACTGACCAGGCTCACACCTGTTAAGCTTCAGTGGGCTGCCAACTGTGAGTTGCTGGTTAACATGGCATTTAAACAATTAACTGACTTCATTAGACTCTTCTAGACATAAACCATTGTTCTAAAGCGAGCAAGATCTGGCTTAGATTATCATGGAATGGAGTTTATGGTGAATCTATTGTGGGAGGTAAAAGGATATTATTCAATCCAATACTTCTGCCAATTGAAACTACACACAGAGGACATGATGAAAGCTTTAGCTTCCCAGATACGCGAGGTTGGTCAACGTTTTGATGTACGAGTGTACCCATCATGTGCTAGGTTCAGCACACATCTTTGCCGAAAGTCTTCGCCAATATAAGTCTTCTTATATTCCTTTATATTCCTGAAATTTGCTTCCCTGCTTCCGTGTGCACGCAGGTCTACATCCTAGGACACGTGCCTCCGGGCTTCTTCGAGAAGAAGCGTCTGAAAGCGTGGTTTAGGCCCCAGTTCAACAGGTACTACCTTCAGCTCATCCAGAAGCACCACGGAGTTATCGCCGGCCAGTTCTTCGGTCACCATCACACCGACAGTTTCCGCATGTTCTACGACTCCAATGGTACAGCGCCGAGACGTTCCCTTTGTTTACAAATGGCTCTTATAAAGAAGGACAGGGTTTAGGTGGAGTTTGATTGATTTAGGTTTAGATTCAAAGAGGTGTCGTGCATGTTCATTACAGAATTTAATTGGAGAACTATTATTTAATAAAGCAAGAAAGTTGCAATGTGGTAACAGTTAGAACGCCTCTCCTGTTCCTCTCCTTTTTCTGACCTGGTTGCTCCTGAAACATGTCTCTCCTGTTCTCTACGCAGGGACTCCTATCAGCACCATGTTCCTGGCTCCAGGCATCACCCCCTGGAAGACCACTTTGCCCGGCGTGAAGAATGGTGCCAATAACCCAGGGATCCGAGTCTTTGAGTATGACCCCAGCACGCTGCTCGTACAGGTATTTCAGCATAAACCAGAGGGGAACAACTGTGATGAAGTGCATTTACAGCTGAGAGCCAACACTTAGGGATTGCCTTCTATATACACAAAGGGTGGCCAGAGTGTGGAACAAGCTGCCCTGCCATATGGTTGAAACTGTTCAAGAAATGGCTGGACAAGATCCTTGCATTAATTTTAATTAAAGATATGACTTATACTCAAACTAGACCCATGAATACAGGAAGCAAACCTGCTGTGACTGGTTTCAGAATAACATCAGAATCTCAAGTGAAATGTCAATGGTCAGGGCAATTCAGGAACTAAGAGCCACGTGTGAATGAAGCTGCTACTTTAAATGGGTTGCATGGACCAAAGGGCCTCCTCTCGTTTGAAATCTTTCCCGTGTTCCTGTGTTTTGGTGAAGTTCAAACTTTGCACTGATCCTGATCTTGAACTACTGTGCTTCATGTTGCGGAAACCATTTTTCTTTTGCCTCTTTCTTCTTCTACCCCTTGGATGAAACTACTTTGCCGACACCTGATCTTGCCCATAAACTAGCTCTTATCTCTTATTATTGCACTTTAATACATCAGTATGACGGATATATTACACTGTTACACATTTATTAAACGGTGGGTTGTATCAGCAGTGTTTTAAGTAATGCATTTCCCCTTCTTCATAGTCTGTGATTCTACAGCTCTGTTCCACCTTGAATTGCAATCTGAGAAGCCAAATGGCTTCATAAAAGGGATTTTAACACTTGTCTTGATCCTGGAGGGACAGTCAGTGTGTCTGCAGGTCTTCAAGGTCTCTGCAGAGCAGGAGGAGCGGTTGAGATTGGTCCGATAAGGGGTGAAATGAAAACCCGTAGACCCGCTCCCGGATCAGGACTGGACAGCCTGTGAAGTCGCGTCACGCCACTGACCCCTGTTGCCTCTGCTGCCGCCCCAGGACATGGTCACGTATTACCTGGACCTGACCCGCGCCAACCTGGCCGGGGCGCGCTGGGAGAAGGAGTACCGGCTGAGCGAGGCCTTCCGCTCGCCCAGCGCCTCGCCGGCCGCCATGCACGGGGTGCTGCGGCGCCTGGCCCGGGAGCCCTGCGCCCTGCAGAGGTACCACGAGCTCAACTCCGTCGGCTACGACCCCTCGCCCTGCGACGCGGCCTGCCGGGCCGACCACGTCTGCGCCATCCGCGAGGTGGACTTCCTGGCGTACGAGCGCTGCCTGGCGGTAGAGGGGGCGTCTCCGGCGCGGCTGCGGCTGCCGCCCCTCCTGCTGGTTCTCCCGGTCACACTCCTGGGGGCTGTGGTGTAGCCCAGGCGGTTCTGGTAGCCCTGGTAGGAACCCCAGCACTAACAGCTGATACCAAAGCAAACAAGTACGTTCAGCTGCAGTCCCATACTCTTCAATTCCATCTCACGCCACAGCCTACAGACAACTCCCAGGATCCCGTTTTCCAGTTTTCTATTCTCTAGGTTTGTGGCAGATGTAATTACTTAAGATCCACATGGCCGATTCCCAGTTTTCCCAAACCACACCCGCAGCTACACAGATAACACACATTTTGGAATGTTTTGCTGCATTTATTCCTGTGCAAAGGGCATCTTTCAACAATCGTGTAGATGCTCCTTTGGAGAATGTTCACCAGAGACTATTTCCACTATCAGGGTTTTATTTCAGCTTTAGCTGGTGCACTTGAAAGGCAAGTACAGAAATTGAACATTGCACATGAGATAAGGACTTCTCTCACCTTTGATCCCTCTCTCGTTTCCCTGAAGCCGAAGAGGAAAGCGATCCGAACTGTTGCCTTGTGAAAATGTGCCGTGTTAATTGTAGCTGAAGACTGGTAAATAAACTGATAAAAGCTAATACTTTGAGGGCACACACAGTCTGACTCTGTATTTGTCTGGATGGTGTCGGCAGCTAATAAAAGTGACAGCTCTTTAAAGAAAGAGGGAACTAAACTCAAGTACAGCCTATTAGTAAATTGTACAGTACAACAGCTTACCTGCCATTCACACTGGCTGGAAATATTCATCTGAGAACCTAATTATTTAATGTAGGGCAGGGTTAAGTACACCTGGTATTTTATGTACACCATGTAGAATTTAATTCATAGAAATACTGACAGTATTAGAGCATCCTCCATTGTCTTTTGCAGTCAGTTTCTTAGTACTATAAAACTCTTAGAGAGAAAAACACTAGTGAACTCCTGGGCTCTTTTTTAATGGCTGTATTACAGACTTACCATTGGTGCTTAACCCCATAGAAAAAAACAGCACATTCCTGTTTGGGCAGAGAAAGCACGGTTTAATTGTTCGATGTGCTTCTGTGCTCCTCCCTGTTGGTTACAGAGCTGCGGTGTCTATCAATATTACAACAGATGGCAAATTGGCCATTCGTCTGAGCAGTTCTGGGGTCAGGCAGGCCAGCACCTGCACTGTCAAGCCCATCCCAGGATTCCTTGCTCCTCCTCGTGCGGAAGCTGAACCGGACCCTTGCATCACATAACGAGGACCTGCTTGGCAGAGGTGAAGGGCTCCATGGCGCTGTGCAGGGCTGTGCGGAAGTCCTGGAAGCTGACTTCGGTGCAGGCTGGGGGGGACAGCTTACCCCCCCTAATCAGAGCGCACAATTCGGAGAGCATCTCCTTCAGAGCCCCCTGATCTGCAGAGCCAGGAAAAAGGAGAATACCTGGGCTTAGGCTAACAACTCATTTTTCTTTGGCTTTTGCCTGCACTGGCAAAAGTGACACAACCAGGCTCCCCATCTCCCGAGGCAGATGACATATTTGAACACAGCATGAGCGCTGCCATTTGCAGTCAAGTCCAGTCAGTGCTGGTCCCGCTGATTTTCACTACTTCGCCATGGGGGCAATTTTGTAGCATCGTTCTAGTGCTCGCTGATGTCATGACCTAAGTGAACGTGCTGTGCACGTCTACGACCAGCGCCCAACTTACCGCAAGCATGTTCTCTCTTCCATTTTGTTACCCAGAATCCTTGCACCCTCACATCCTTGAAGATCAGGGCACTCTGAGGAGGGAGGGGTGAAAGGAGCCATCAGCTGACAGAAAGGGTTCGAGCCCAACCAGTGGAACGCCACACCCACACCACACCATCCCACACCACGATGCACTGACTCACCACGGGCACCGTGACCGGCTGTTTCGCCATCCCCCCATAGGTCACCATCGTACCTCCACTCCTACGAGCACAGAGACAGCGATTCGCGTCACCTTGGCCATGCACTGCAGCAAGCTGCTGCTGCCACTGCGACAAGGCTGGACGCACGTGAGCAGTCCAAGCAATTGGCAGGAAACAAAAGAAGCATATCAACTAAGTCCTCAAGTGAACCACTAAACACGTTCTTTACACAAAGGGTGGTGGGAGTGGCACAAGCTGACCAGTCATGTTGCTGTAGCTGATGCCCTGGCTTCTTTCAGGAAACAGAATAAGATTCTTGGTTCAATGAGCTACTAACTACCGAACAGGCTAGATGGGCCTGTTGGCCTTCTCACTCCGATTTTCTTATCTTCCTCTCCCTTGCACACAAGTACACGAACCCTAACAAGCTCCCAACCCCCCCGGCCTGCCAGTTCTGCCCAGGCCTGGAGGTGGACAGTGCCCGTGGGACTTACTGTACGTGGCGCAGCAGTTCGGTGGCACTTTTCCCACCCACCCCATTCAGTGCCAGGCGGGGTCGGGGACAGCTCTGGAGGGAGAGAGAAAGAGGACACTGAAGGGAGGAGAATGCCAACACCTTCAGCGAAGACACACAATAAATGAATCCATCTTCAAATTCCTGCAACACAGACGCATTAACCAAATCCGCCATTTATTTAATAAGGACAATAGCGGGCGGAATGCATGCAAAAACTCAGTTTCTCCCTGACCTAAAAGAACCGCAATGCTCGGCTATGAGCCACGTGCCCACCTTGAAGATCTCGCTCATCGCTGGCTTGCGCAGAGTCTCCTCTGTGACCACGTGAGCTGCACCCAGGGCCCGGAGCCTGTCTGTGAGCTGCTGGAGGTCGGGCCTGGAGTCGAGGACACACACCGAGTCAACCCGCTAGGCCACAGACACCTCTCTATCAGACTCCATTGACTCAGTTTCTTTTTCTTCCATTGATTTTTGGTAAGTGTAGAACATTTTCTATATATTCTGAGCCCCACTTGTGTTTCCCTTAACTATGAATTGAGATGCAGTGCCCGTCAATTCTATTGCCAATTTGAACCAACAAAACGCAGATGATATCAGGACCCCTTTATTGCTTAAGAAACAGAATGACTGGTGACACCAGGACAGACCAAGCTCATGGATTCAAAGACAAGGAAGCAAGGCTGTTCCATTACTGGGGTCCAAGAGGAAAGAAGCAGTTCCCTGTCTTGTCCTCGTTTCTCCTGGTTTGTGTCCTGTCAAGTTTCCCTGCTGGTGATTTTGCTCAGGCAGTCACTGGCTGCCTTCACCCACTACTTCAGAAGGAGCTTCTGAAAGAAGACACTGCTGTGGAAATGGGAGAAGGGGGCTGTTGAGGATACGGCAGGGTCGCACTGACTTTCAGCTGAAGTGCTTTACAAACAGGCCACACCACGTCTGATTCTGGATGGCATTCCTAGAAGGAAGCTTTGAGTAAAAACTCTTTTGGGGATAGAGTCATCAATGTTCACTGAAATAAAATCTATATATAGAGAGAGGGGGGTGATGGACCATATTTCCCCAAGCTGAAAACAGACCACACGCAGGGAGGAGAAGAGGGTAGAAGTTGCTTTTAAGGTGTGGGTGCCATTGCAGCAATCACAGGGGAGGGGAGAGTTGCTCTCCTGCCTTTCTGACAGGTTTTATTTTCCTCCTCTGTCTTAGTTTCTGTGGAGAAGGCCTCACAACATTCTCTATTTCCAGAATCCAGGACAAAAAACAGATTTGTTAGTAAATCTGGGACACCTAGAATAAACCTTTACTATGGGACTGTCCTGAGAAAGACAGGACACGCAGTCTGCCAATAAAACAATATTCACTAGAAGAAAGAATGAAGAATTCAGTAGACTTTACTGTGTTACAGGACGCTTTAGCGCACCACCTGGTGGCAGGGAGATGACGCTAAATACAAATGACATGATATGAACCTCACATTGACATTAATACTCCTCGTTAAATTACTGGTCTTCACACAAAGCCTCCGAAAAAGAGGTTAAAGGAGCCAAAGTACAACATATTTATCTTTTCAATTGAAGGTAGCCATATTTAAAAGCACATATTTATCAGAATGAAAATTCCAACCTTGAGAGTAAAACTTGGGAGGAGCCTCGTTTTGGTCAGAACACGCCAGGCGTGAGCTACCCCTTTAACTCCCTTCCCAGCCGAGGGCTACCTGCTTCGGACCACGTTGATGGTGTGGATCCCCCTGGCGGCCGCGATCTGAATGACAGCCTGGCCCACGCCGCTGTTCGCCGCGTTCTGGATCACAGAATCGCCTGTGAAGGGCAAGAGAGCATGGTGGCCCGATTTAAAAATCGAGACTCGTTGATGGCTTCAGATCTACCCGTTTAATGGGACTTAACCTGACAAAACTGTCGCCCCCTCCTTTTTACTTCGGGTTTTTCCTCAATATCAGAAAATGACTGCGCCAACAAGACTGCTCCCACACCTCTGTGCAAACCGCGCAATCCGCAGCCCCGTTACCGAGCAGTTTACATGGCCGAGCATCTGGCGTCTGCGCCAATCAGGACCAGTGACCTGCGCCTTAGTATTGTGCAGCATGACAACTAAACGTGCACGGCTCACATAAATGTAGCTTACTGGAAAGGTATTTCTGTTTTTTCCTACTGTCCTGTGATCACTGCCTCCTGCTCTCTCTGCTCCTTCCACGGCTGTGGGACCTGATACACTGACAGACTGGGGCACAGTTGGTGCAGCTCATCACTGAGACATGCTCCGAGCCCTAAAGGACAGGTATACAGGTGTATATACAGGTAATGGAAGTTTCTTGTTGCAGTGTACACCTTATCATTAAATGGGTATCAGATCTACTTAGTACCAAGTTACTTTGTTAACTGGGGAAACTGCCTATCTCCTCCAGGCCTGGGAAGGTAGGAGAGGTGTTCAGTTTTCTGCTGCTATGCAGTGATGAAAGTCTAGACTACCTGGCTTTAAGGTCTCAAAGTCTGACAGCATCCTGTAAGCAGTACAGGGATTCACTCCCAGAGTGGCAGCACACAGTACTGGGATATCACTGGGCACAGCGATCAGGTCCTCTTCACCGAACACAGCAGCTGTCCTCCATGTGCCTGTCCAAAAATCAGACAGCCACTTGTGAGTTTCAGGAGTCAATGAACACCCTGTCCTCAAATGAGGGTATAACAATTTCCTAATAATAATTTCTTACACTTATATAGCGCTTTTCTGGACACTTCATACAAAGCGCTTTACAGGTAACGGGGACTCCCCTCCACCAACACCAGTGTGCAGCCTCACCTGGATGATGCAAAAGCAGCCAGTGTTCACCAGTACGCTCAGCACACACCAGCTCTCAGTGTGGGGAGAACAAGTGTGAAGCCAGTCCATAGATGGGGATTATTAGATTGGTAAAGGCTAATGGGAAATTTGGCCAGGAAACCAGGATAACATCCCTACTATTTTCAAGAAATGCCCAGGGATTTTTAATGACTGCAGTGAGTCAGCAGCGAGTTCTCATCCACAGGATGGCAGCTTTTTTTTACAGTATAGTGTCCCCGTCACTATACGGGGGCATTAGGACCCACACAGACCACAGGGTGAGCGCCCCCTAGTGGTCCCACTAACACCTCTTCCAGCAGCAACCTTAGCTTTCCCAGGAGGTCTCCCATCCAGGTACTGACCAGGCTCACACCTGCTGAGCTTCAGTGGGTTGCCGTGTGATATAGCTGCTGACATTCTAAAAAACGTCATCCTATAATTAACAGATACCTAAATTCACACACAAATGAAACTTGACAGTTGCTAGACAACACCATCATTGATCCGCCCATAAAAATGGCAAGAACCCTCCCCCAGGACAGGAACTCCCGCCTCACCCAGTCCAGCATCCCTGGGTATTATCCAATCACCAGCTCTCAGTGAGGTCACCTGACCGCCCACTTCCAAGACTTGGCCAACCCCCTCATTCCCTCCTACTGCTGGGAGAGGGGGCAGGATAGCATAGGTACCTGCACAGAGACCAGGAGAGTGAGGGAATAGGGTCAAGATCAGGAGAGAGAGATGGACACAGTGCACTGCAGACATTTACAAAGAACCAGCTGTGCAGCGAAGGGGCTTCACCCCAGTTCAATCACGTCAAGGCCAGAGAGAAATCAGAAGACCAGACTATTACCTTGAACCATATTCATGTCTGAAGGGTTGATGGGGGCTGCCAGCATCTTTACCAGGACACTTCTGTCTCCCAGAGCAGGGAGTTTCATTTTCTCCATCCTGAACAGGACAAACATGTACGACAGCACCAGTTCAGCAGTCTCTGGGAGGCGGTTATACATCATAAACTCACCATCAAATACTTTATAGGGGAGAACTTCGCCTGTTAAACACTTCAACACGTGTCTTCGGGTTCTTTGAAGATAATAAAAGGGTCTCTCACATGATGCACAACATAATTTCATCAGGAGTTTCATTTCTTCGCTGCCAGTAGAAATGATTCTTTTACATGATTTGTATAAAATGATTTCACATACTGTATATATAGTGTAATCCCCGACTGGTGTTGTTTCGCGTTTTAACGAGCACTAAAATGTGTTTTATTAAATCTGTAAATTATGCCTCAAAAAAAAAACACCAGCATTTAAATACTTTTCAGTGCGGGGCTGGTATTATTTTCAGATTGGCTTTCTGGGCAGATAAGTGGCGCATGAGTGCTTACTGGACAGCCTGCGCAGGATCGCCGTGGCTCCTGTAGACCAGCGCCCTGCAGTCTACCCCAGCAGCCGCGGAGGAGTACCTGCAGCCCGCAGGAGGACAGGGAGAAGGGTCGCTGCTGCCCCGGCTGTTCGGCAGCTGTCTCCGCCGGAAAGCATGGTATTCGGAGACACTTGCTCCACTTACGAATCTGCATATTTTCCGTCTGGGTGAAATACCCGTCCTCCTCCACAACAAACTCCAACAGGCAGAGAACACCATGGTGCACCGGTGAGCAGGTCACCCAAACTCCCTCCTGTCGTGACAAACTTCCATACCGCCTCCTACAGAAGGATTGGCCCTCATCCGCTAACGAGTATATTAGGGGTGGTCAGACAACAGCCATTTTTACCGTACATTTCACAATATAGGGACATTTAAGAATGTCGCTATATTTCAATTTTGTAGGCGCCGGAAATATAATAATTACGGTTCCCTGCGTTTCAGGCGTGCGAACCCACTGATGTGCTTTATAACATCACAATAACGAGTATTTTACACCAGTTACGCGTTAATGGGAGATGAGATGTGTTGGCAATATGGACCCGATACACCAAGCTAAATAAATAAAAAAATATATCGAATTAAAACAGGTACTTAAAAACATGGCGAACACGAATCTGGCTTGTAGTATTTGATCTATTTTGCAAAATGTTGTGCTGTATTACGCTGTATCAAGCGCAACGAGATTCGCTTTTTCACCTCTCGTGTTTAGGGATTTTTTTCCGTTTTACTTCAGCTACAGAAAGCACCTGGTTGATTTTTTGCACTTGTAACCCAAGCAATGGGCGCATTAAAAATAAAACAAAGACTTTATTGCTGTTTCTGAAAGATTATGGTGAACATGTAGGTGACTCTTTTTGACAAAAACTGCATTTTTTGCAACTTAATCGCGCTAATTGCAAGGAGATGGGATAATGAGTATAACCTCTACCTCAATTTTTGGGATGTAACAGCAACCGACACTTGCATAACATTGAAAAATGTGGCAAGTACATGCTATGTCAAACGTCCGCTGGGCGGCGATATTATCATACTAAAGACCAAGAAACATTCAATACGGTACTCTTGTATTTATTATAATATCTTGACACTTAAATAGCGCTTTTCTGGACACTCTACCCAGAGTGCTTTTACAGATAATGGGGACTCCCCTCCACCACCACCAATTTAACCCCCACCTGGATGATGCGATGACAGCCATCTTCTTCTTCTTCTTCTTCTTCTTAGCCATAGTGCGCCAGAACGCTCCCCACACACCAGCTCTCAGTGGGGAGGAGAGCAGAGTGATGGAGCCAGTTCAGAGATGGGGGTTATTAGGAGGCCATGATTGGTAAGGTCCCATGGGAAATTTGGCCACACCCATTACAACCCCTACTCATTCTGGAGAAACGCCCTGGGATTTTTAATGACCACAGAGAGTCAGAACCTCAGTTTCATGTGTCATCCAAAGGACGGTGCCTTTTTACAGTATAGCGTCTCCACTGCTATACTCAGGCACTAGGACCCACACAGACCGCAGGGTGAGCGCCCCCTACAGGTCCCGCTAACACCACTTCCAACAGCAAACTTTGCTTTCCCCGGAGGTCTCCCATCCAGGTACTGGAGAGACTGGGCTGGTGGTGGTGAGTGGGAGAGTGATATAGCTGGCATTTCTTGTCTAAACATTAAACACGTTTTGTTTTGCTTTTCTGATTTTTTTCATTGAACAGTTTGTATACCGCTGATAATATTTGTGTAGAGCGAAAAGTTCCTGGTTAATAACAATGTACCAAGTGGTTTCAAATACCACGTTAATTAAGGGGATTTATTTTATGAAATAAATGTATCCCTGCCTTCAAGAGTCCAGATTCACTTAATCTTATAAGTGATCTGTATTTAAAGACTGGCAACACCTGTAAACTATCGATGAATCAAGCAAGTGAATGTGTTCAATTAAGAGCAGTGTGGCCCTTGAAGACTGAAGAGTGCTTAGATGTTAGTTCTTAATGATCTGTTAAATCACCTGTTTAATCGATCAAAAGAACTGTTCCTTAAGAAACTGTCATTGAAGTGACCTACAACATCCCACTGGACTGGAGTTTTCCAGGACCTGGGATGGAGATCCCAGATCTACAGAGATAGTAAAGTTTCTACCACAGTAACACCAACAGGAAGTCTGAGCAAACGTTTTCAAACAAAATGTCACAGCTGTTTCTCAAAGGCATACATATATATTTCTTAAGTGGCTGTGGTGTGGTCAGAATAGTAGTTCATTATAAAAAAAGTGAACAGGATGCCTGTAGGAGTAATACCGTTTTTTTAACATCTGTAGTACAATTGTCATTATCCAGATTCTCATCTATTTCTTATTTTTCAATCAGGTGAACATTTGGTATTATTGGTGTGGAAAAAAACCCCATCTGTCTTACTCATGGGATGCATGTCCAAAAGGCCCCTTTGAAAACAGTGTGGTTATAACCGGACACGTCTGAAGTGGGATGTTTTCATAGTTTTAATACAAAGGTGGACATATATTCTGGGAATATACAAGGGAATCTCTAATGTCTCCATCAACCATCATTTCACCTGCCTCAAGTGTAATGGGGGTAAAGAGTATGGTGTCAACCAGGGCTATAAGTGCTGTATACTTCCACTTGTTTCAATCTAGATATGTGGAGGGACTGTTTCACCCTTTAAAGAAGAGGAAATCAAGTGTTTCATTTGAACACCGCTTGTGATATTTGGGGTGAGCAGGGTGTTCAGTTCGGCGCTCTTGTGATTAAATCTCCCCAGGTTGTTCCACATTGTGCTGTTCTCCTGTGGTGAGAATCAGCTTGAATTGATTCACCTTGTAGCTGGCACAGCCGCTGCCTGCCGAACAGGTCAGGCAGAGGTCTCCCATGCTGAGCAACATCATTCCAGGCACAGTTAATGGGCAGCATCTGCCTGCAGTGCTCGGGGGATGTAGAGCTTCTCAGATGTGAGCAACACGATTTTTAGCCAACAGTTGATTCATATATTCATGCAACTGCAGCTTGTGTTGCCCCTTATAGCGGCTACACTGGAAGGAAGGAATCCAAAAGGAAACTGTACAGAGCAGAGTATGATGGTCTTGTGTCTTGCATGAATGGCAAGTAGTATTGTCTGGTTTGATTTACTATGGGAGAGGATTTGTTCAGGATAACCACAGATTACTTGGTTTACCAGGGTTTCTTTCCACAAACATTCTTTTTCATCATCACATTGTATTTGCTTGCTGCTCAGGGATAACAACTTTCTGTAAATCCATCACGTTGAGAACTACAGTCCTGCTTTGATCTTCACACGTTTTTCCCCCTGGCTGCTTTCCAGTGACGCAGTCAGAGCTTAAACTGGGTTATCCGTCTACCTGACCTTCTGTAATAGGGCACTCACAGCTGGTACAGTGACTGTCTGACCCCCCCCTAGCAAACAGGGTGGAAATAAAGCTGGATCTATGATAATATTTCTCAGAAAGTCCAGTTCGCATTAACACATGTGTCACTGAACTATTTTTAACGTGTTTTTTTTTCCTAAAACAAGAACAAATGTTGCATTGGCTTGTGTCATCATGTGTTCTGTTCGGGACAGTGGTTGCCTACTCAGGCTCTGCTGGTTTTCATTCCAGCTGAGCTTTAGATCTCCAGTGGTGATATGATCTGGTGCTTATTTAGACATTTAACTTATTTCTTCAAAGGCACACACACGTCCACAGCTTGCATGTCATTAATTTCTGACAAAACAGCTTATTAGTTGAGCAATGAGAATGTACGAAGGTGGGAAAGACTATATTAAGAGTTACAGCTCCCACAATTAACATTTTGTTCATTTACAGAGACTCAAGACTTTTTACAGTTTTACATTATGTACATGATTTGCATAATTTATGTTTTGTCAAGGCCTTAAGGCTTCCTGTTTAATTTTCTTTACTGATATGAGCAATACCAGTACTATCCTGCATACATTCAGGTGGCAGCAGATCAACATTGCAAGCCATACTTCTTATTGAAAAAGGAAGTGCTCCGTTTCAGTAACGATTCTGCAGCTTATCTCTGGCTGCAAGAGGTACATTTCTTAACAGCTGCTCTTTGAAGTGAGGTTAATGGTACATTATTGGACAAACAAAACATTTCAGTTTTGCAGTGCAAAGACATCTCAGAGGAATAAATAAATAAAGAAGCAGGTTCCCAAGTGTCTGCAAATTTTAAGAAGGTAAAAAAAGCACTCAAGCTCCCAAGGACATTGATATTTGTGAGAATTGCTAATAAACAGCCTTAAGGGAGCTAAAAGTAACCAGCTGTCTGTAAAGAGGAACTAAGAATAAATTTATATGTTTTTATTGTCTATGAAGTGGTAGAATTCTGTTTAAAATAACCATCAAGACTGTTGAGTTCTTCCGATTCTAGTGTTCTCTTGTGACAAACGTTTAAACTTTTTTTTATGGGGACAATTTACTTCTGTATTCGGTTGAATGTTACCCTTTATTACCACCCGTCTTAATATCTTAAATGTCAGAACACAAAAGAACTCCAGTGGTATATATCGGTTTTAAAGCATTTCCAAAGTAAGGCACAGCAGGTCAAGTGCCAATTTTAAAACATATTCTTTCTGCATCCCCTGTTTATAAGCCCCTCATGCCCCCCTCCACCATCTCCACTTTAAGTTGACAACCAACAGACAGAAACACAATACGATTTTCTCCTTTTATTAATAAAGTCATAAATTTAACAATAAATTACACAATCATTTACATCTTTTTTTTTATAAATTCTTTTCTGTAAAATATATTTTACAATGACCTTGAAATAAAAAAAATAAACCGGGTGTCGAGTTAAACTGTGGGAGATGTGGCTGTTCTGCCCTGCAACACAGTTTACACTGCTGCTCCTGGGGCTCAGAGTACTACAGGCAGCTCCCTCTCACTTGGACAGGACAGCTCCCCACGGCAGCCCTGCAATCCTGTGTTACAACCTCTTAATACGACGGTTGTCCCTGTGTCCCACGAAGGGTGGCCGGGGAAGACGACTTGTTCCACAGCCGCGATCTATAAACAATACGGGGGCCACGTCTGTCGGGATCAAAGCACATACAGCAACATCCTGTAAAAACCGAATCTCTTCAGCCCTAGTCAAATCCCCGGGACTTCTGGAAAAAGGTTGCTTTTCTCACCATCACAAATTTCACTTCAAATAAACTTATCACACTTCGTTTTTCAAGGGCCGACAACTGTTCGGGGGGGGGAATGGAAATTATCTTACATCTCACCACAGCCGTATTAAAAAAAACAACACCTATTTTCCAAAGGAGCACCGTTCAAACACAGAATCTGAGCAACACAAAGTACACCATCACTGTAAAGACCCTTGTAGATTGTGAACAAAAGACCAGGGAAGTTCTAAAACGGTCTACTGAGTTGTGTTTGATCAAACTCTAGCAAAGAATTAGAGGGCATAGGGGAATTTGCTCTAGTGCTGCATTTTTTTAGACAGGTGTATTTTTTTTAAATCTTTGTACTGGCCATTACACAATTAAGTGGATTCGCATAAGAGGAAAAAAAAAAACATTTGAACATTAAAGCTGAAGGACATCAAACCACTTAAATCACTGTTAAAATCTGTGCATACTGCCCATTGCCTACTTTAATTTAGATGTGTTGTGCAAGGTACTTGCTCGTAACTCGGGTAATATCGTAACGTCTTTGAAGGTAATGTGACAATCAAGGTGAACTCTGCAGTACAGACCATTTCTTTCCATCAGAGGCATTTTGAAAGTTGACAAAAGTGATGATCCGATTTAAATTATTGCCCATGAACGTAAAAGTAGCTTAAATATTTAGTTCTTGAATAAAAATTAAATCGGGTAACAGCACATACACAGCTGGGAAGGACTGCAAATTCCACAATATAACAGATTATATTTTATGAAAAAAGGTGAAAGCCAGGTGCTTGCAAAATATTTGCAAATGACTGAATACTACTTATAGCTTACTCTCCTCTGTAATAAAACCATATTGCATGGTATGGAACAAAAATCCCCAGGGACTTAACTGGTTTCCCCAGTTATTTCAGATCATCTCTGTAATGGATTTTTTAAATGGAGCCAAGCAGTATTTCTGTAAGGCTTAACTGGTTTCCCCAGTTATTTCAGATCATCTCTGTAATGGATTTTTTAAATGGAGCCAAGCAGTATTTCTGTAAGGCTCCCAACACTGAACAAAGCCAAGCACTACGCCGAGTTTGATAAATGTCAGCTGTCTTCTGCAGAACCATGCAGATGCAAGTTAAATGTTTCAGCAGTATCCAGTAAACCTGGATTGACAACATTCTCCTTCCTATGCATACATATGCACTGTATGAGAAATGCAATATATTATGCATAGCATTACATCCATGCATCTATGTTATTAAGAAGTTCTTAAACACTACAAAACACTACAAACATTTTAATGTCAGAACAACAAATGACTATTTACAGCTTCTCTAAGTAATGTAAAAAATCAGCCAATGAGGTGGAAGGTTCCTGTGAGAGTGGAGAGACTACTGCAGAAGCAGGGTAAAGTGCTGTGACACTGAGGGAAGGCAAAATTCATTAAGTCGGAAATGGCTTTTCCACTGGCTTCAAACTGAGCAAAGGCAAGAACAGAGTGATGATTTTAAGCAGCAATGGTTTGGTACCAAGAGAGTATCCTTTGCATCATGGACCAAAAAAACCAAAGTTCTAGCACTACTGAGGGATGAGCAAATAGGTAATAAGTGTCGTCACGTAGCAGGGGAAAACAGACTGCCAAACTGATCAAACTATTTGAAGTATTTATTTTTCCTTCAAAAATCAACATTTGGAAGCAAATACCTTGGCTCATATCTGCAAAACATTAATTATCCTTCAAAAGGATGCAGAAAAGTAAATTTGTAAAATTTACAATGTTGAAAATGTAACCTTAAGTTTTGACCAGTAAAGGGCACTGCGATGGAATCAACAAAAATGGTACACAAGTCAAGAATATCCAAGTTAAACCTTATTTTCTTCTTTTAGCAAACTCAAAACCAGCAGACTAGTCTGCAGAAATGATATGCAGATAGCATCAAAACCTTCTATTGCAGATAAAACAGATGTCTAAGTGTAATATACACCACAGTGGTTCTGAGAAGACTCAGATGATTTGCAAAGAGCCACAATGGACAAGAACTGGTGTAACCTCATGTCAGATCCTGCCCTGTATTAGCCCTTATTGGCACTTCCCTGGCTGACCATCAGCATGTTTAAGTTTACTATAACTTCAAAATGACAAGAATGTCTGCAGGCATTTTGAAAACTCCAAGACATACAGACTCACTAGCCATTCTGAATGAAGACTGATCTACATTTAGAGTCTGTCATACTTTATAATTATCAGAGGCCAACAATTTTTTTCCCCATTTAATATGAGCATATTATGTTGATTAACCTGTTCTGACCCTACACATACCTGACCCATGTACAGAACCAGCACTAGAGCAGACAAAAATTAAGACTGAAGGAAAGATGTACAATATTTAGGCCAGCATGCTAATCCCACATTTCTGGCAATAGATTTGCAGGGACTGAAATCAGGATTTAAAAATGGCATTGGGCATTGAATGTTAAGAGAATAGATAAAGAGTAACCGAGAATTAAATAAGGAGGTCATTTATTTTCTCCTCTGCTGTGTGAGAAACCTGTCCTTGATGTTACTAAGATGCCAGGAGAAAGGCCACAGATTGTGCCCACCTGCTCACTCACTCTAACTACTTACTACTCATCCTGCAAAGCCTGTGGCAGTACAACAGCCAGGGCAGCACTCCCTGAGGGCTCCTAGCCAAGATCAGCAGCTCAGCAAAAACAGAGCTAAAAAAAGCATCATACTGATCTTTAAAATCCCAATAGAGAATCCAATTTGTGTATATATTTTTTAATTTGTTCAACACGTATTCATTGAGCCTTATTAAAAACTATTTCAAATAACGTCAGCCTGAATATCATCTTCTTATATTTATGCAATGGACAAAATTTTGCAACCCTTTGCGCACAAATATGGAATGAATTAATTTTCCCCACAGAAAGGGCATTCCTGGGCAGAAAATGTTGATTGCATCACAATCTCTTAATTTCTCAATTGTAGATAGCATTTTCACACAAATACTAAGATGTTCTAATCTGTAAAACCTGACCATGTATATAATTTACTGTGTATTATAGGAACTTGCTAGATTATCTTTTAAACTATGAAAAGGATTTTCTAATTGCCAACTAGCAGTTGTGTATATGTTGCTATTGGTAAGAATGATTGGCTTGCCTGCTGTGTCTGGCAGGAAGAAAATAATTTAACACTGTTCACATCTGTGTAGGCAACAATATGCAACCTTCTGAAGCTAGTTGAATGTCCAAACAGCATTTTAAAATATCCAAATGAATCTTGTTCCCTGTGGTTTTTCCTTTGAACTAGCAGCATTTAAAAACTATACCCTTAGCAAGCACTGTTGGGAAAGCCCTCAGAGGCAGGGCAGCAGCAAAGTTCTTTGTGGCTCTTAGTGAGACATGCACCAAGCAAATTCAAATAACCACCATGAACTTAACCTTGAAAATTCAATTTTTTATGGACCAACCCTGCAGTTATTTCTACAGTTTTGTTAACTTCGTTTTCATTAAATTGAATCCCTGGTTTCAGACGGCAACCCTAGAATAGTGTTGTTCTCTTGAAAAGGTCTGATGCTCCATTGTCTACAAGTCGTTCAGGAGTCACAGAAAAGTTATTTAGTGTGCGTCTTGAAGTTTCCTTTAATATCACGTATCCCAGTTACATTCTTTGCAGGCGATTTTTACTAATCTCAACTCCAGCTCAAAGGCGTCAGGCCGCTCCTGTGGATTGGCGGCCAGCATCTCCTTAATGAGTTGTTTCATGCTGGCATTCATGCTTTTCTTCTTGACGGGGATGTGGAGTTCCATTTTGGGGTTTTCTAAGAGAGCTTCCCCAACAGGCACAATCTCTGAGCCCTGCTTGACATAGCTCCCCAACAGTTCTTTCTTGGTCTCCGTATCAATGAAGGTGATGCGCTCCAGCATGGCCCAGATGATGATACCCAGAGCAAAGATGTCTGCTTTGGCTGTGTAGTGACCCTCCCACACCTCCGGGGCCATATAAAAGTCCGTTCCACATGCTGTAGACAGGAAACACTTGTTGACATTAGCGGGCTCTTCGGGGTTAAGCCCAGAAGATGAGCACACTTTGCTCAAGCCAAAGTCTGCCACTTTGAGCGTAGGCTCAGGCACGCCTGTGGGAGTCCTGCTCTGCGAGATAAGGATGTTGTCTGGCTTGAGGTCCCTGTGGATGATCTGGTTCTTGTGCAGAAAGGCCAGGGCACTGCCCAGCTGGAGCATGAAGCTGGTGTTGGTCTTACGGCTGGGCTTCCGTGAAAGCAGGTAGGCGTTCATGTCTCCCCCGTCGCAGAAGTCCATGACAAACCACAGGTAGTAGGCGCTACGTGGATCAAAGGCAATCTCTCCTTTCAATGATGTTTCCACCAGCTTGAAAATAAAAAAGTGATGTTATTTGTCAACACTACCTGTACAGATATAAGAATTTCATTTTATTGCAGGTGATAGCTTGCAGTGCTATAGTAGGATTGCAGAGATTGATATCAGCAAGGAATCTCAGCCTCAGAACAAAACATGGTCATTGTGCTAAAAAAGCAATGACAGTCCTCCAGAAAAAATGAAAGTGCGCTGTGCAACTTTCACACAAAAAAGGATGAAGTGCAAATAACGCTTTCTATTTCTTACAAGTGCTAAATACAGTAGATTCTATGCAATTTGTAGAGAAAAAGGTCACATGAAGGACACGCAGATTTCAATATTTTGGATTGATAAAAGAGGGGAAATCATCCATTTTATACAGAAAAGCCTATAACAAAATGAAATGCATTGTCTGCATTAGAAAACAATTGAGGCAGTTACATAAAACACCAACAGAAACATTTCTGCAAGAAACCTGGGATGGCTGCCAAAATTCCTGCCATGGCAAAGCACTGAAGTGACTAACAAGCTATTTAAAATGCTTTCATGCACTGCTGTGATTTCATAATCAAGAATTAAAAGGCACTCTCACCGAGATGTCAATGTATTTATTACTTCGGAGACGCTACATGCACAGGATAAAACAGTTTAAACAGGAGGACGTTGCAGTAACTCCTGAAAGGGCACCACCTGACTCGCATTTAGCCCTGACCCAACAGCTGGACCTACAAGTGTGCCCAACCTTTCTCCACATTAAGGGCACAGTGGTGACCAGCCAAAGCACAAAGAGACACACAGACTAACACCCGTCACATAATAGCCCAAGGAGAAAGAGACCTTTTGAATGCAAGAAAAAAATGAAAAAATAAAACCCTTTCCAAAATCTGCTACTATTCCTCTGTAAATGTTGTGGTTAGCACCGATCATGTGAACACTGGACTGGAGAGGAATGTGCTCTATCAATGAAGTGCAGACAAAACTAAAGAACAAGGACAGAGCTAAGAATGAGATGCATCCTAACTGCTGACTTAGAAGCATCCGGTAGCTTGTGAGTACCTACAAGCTCCGACCTGCAATTTACCATGTACAGTATAGGTGCTACACAAAAAAATAGTCCAGGTCACAACATTCTCAGGAAAAAAAACACCCATACTGTAAAGAAATTCCACAGTAAAATGTTAATACAAATAAACGTGTCCCTTAATTAAAAGACCCAGATTATATACAACTTATATATTTAATAAATAATATTTAATACTATTGAAAGGTAAGGTAAAATTTATAAAATCATTAAAATTGGCTTAGTTGACACCATCATCCAGGGAGAAGAAAAAAACACTTTCAGTGAGATTCTAAAACCTGCCTATTAAATAGATACCTGTATTAAATCAAATAAATAATTTATCTAAATAATATATATATAAACAATAAATTATTGCAGTGCTTATGGTCCTCAATGATTTGGTGATCAGGAAATCTCTTAATAGTCAATTAATATTAAATATCAGTATTCTCCAACAATTACACTGGAAAAATCAAGAGTCACATCTTCACATTTGCTGTATGCAAGGTTAACGGCAACCTTGCATGTTTGCAGGACATGACCCCGAATAAACCCAGGAAATTGCAGCAGTGGGTGTCATACAGCAACCCACAGGTGTCTCCAACAAACTCCACACACCCACATCCCAGTGGGGGAAGCATGATTCTGTTTTCAGTGCCACGGCACCCATGCGGAAACACAGTCAGGCTTAAACTAAACCGGGGCCGGCAAACGTGAGACAATAACGAAACCGGCGATCCTCAACAAAACCAACAGCCGCATACCTGCAGGTAGAGCGAGGAGCTGGAGCCATGCGTCATCCTCTGCACCAGGCTGTCTCGCTGCAGGATGCACTCTTCCAGGTGGATGACGTTGGGATGCTGGCTCTGGATGCTGCTCAGAGCCCAGAACTCCCGCAAGGCCAGCTCCACGTTTTCAGGAGCGTGGCACCGGATCTTCTTGACGGCCACACGAGCTCCGGTCTTCCTCACCAGTGCCTCGTACACCACACCATAGCTGCCACGCCCCACCTCCTGGATGAGCTCATACTTGGGCTGGCTGCTCACCATTCTCTCGCCACCCACTCGCTGAAACAAAGCAGACAGAGAGCTGGAGAGTGCTCTCCCAAATCGACAGTACGTAGTTGGCAGTATGAAAGGGGCAGCAGAGAATTCATTAAATATTTGAATGTACATAAAACAAGTTTGATGATTTTAGCAATAATATTTTAAACTACGGTATCATCCCAAATACACCTTTTAACTCCCTAAACCACTAAACCTTTTAATATATAATTTGGGTTTATTCTTGGGTTCACTTGGGTTAGTCAAATTTTTGCAGTATTTCCCCCCCACTATTTTGCTTCTGCTGTAGAGTCTGACAGTTCCACGTTACAACACAGTTTGCAGAAAACTGCTCAGATATAAGAATTAATGCAAAAGCATTATTGTGGTGTATCCTACTCTGAAATCAGAATCCTTTTCCTCATCTTAAGCAACCAGAAAAAATATTTAACAGCAATTCTTGTTAAAAGTGTGCTGAAAAACATATATCATTATATTAATATTAGGCCCATAGTGCTACTTAGTACAGGATAACAATAAAAAATTAAGCCAGCTTTGTACGTTATAACAGCTTGTCTCATACCATGGTAAAATTAGATTTAAGAGAAAATGCTATTGATTGTTAATTCCTTTTCTCAACCTATGTCTGACACAGAGCTCTACAATTTGCTTTCACCTTTGCACGTGGATACATTCTGGACTGTCATTTCAATCCACAGGCTGTGATGTTGCAAAAAGCACCTGATGTACAAAATAACCACATGTACACAGCCTCTACTTCCTTGATTGCAACTTGAGCAGAGCAGTCTCTCTTGGCATGCAATTCGGTCTCTTCCTGTCTCAGCTGTAACGTTCTGGGCCTCAAGATAAATAAATGGGACCTTGTATAGAACCAAAGGCTGCTCTCAGTGGCAAGTGAGAATAAAGACTAATCCCATGAATTTAGTCAACCAACAGTAATGCTGTTAAAAAATGCAATTCTTTTAGCATCTGAGGTATATATATATAGACAAAACAACTCACAATCTGAACTAACGGTATTTTCTGTAATACTCCTATCCAAAGGCTGAGCATTATCACCATCCTACACTAACATGCTGACTTGTGTCCAGGTTTCTCTCGTACTTTGTTTTAAAAGGGGGAAACTATTCTAAAAGCTTTAAAACCTTCACAAAGATGTTGTAAACGTCTCTTAAAGAGCATGCAGCTTCTGCCCTTGCTCGATTTTGAAACGGAGTAGCTCAGTGCCCTGCACTTAATTTTTAAAACACGACTGAAAAATGCAAGGGAAAGCAGCCATTCGCAAACACTCTGCGATTTCCTTTCAAACGTCAGAAAGCAACCCTTCTATTGTTTTCTATTCAACTAGATCCAGTTGCAATGTTCCAGTTTGCAAAGGGAGAGCCAGTGCTTTCACTTTCTGTACCGCACACAGGAGTGTTCCAGGAAGATCCCGCTCCTAATAAAGCTACGAAGCACAACCGTGTGGTAATGCACTGGGACGTCTCGTATTTCAAAACACACCGCTTGTGACAAACGTCAATACTGGAAACTCTCGTTACTACAGTTTTGTTTCGCGCCTCAACGTCCTTTTTAGGCACCAAACTCTAGAAAACTCGAGTGCAACGTGGTGAAGTTACTGTTGTCACTGTTTACCTATCATTGGGGCTACCCGTCTAAAACACCGACTGGACACTGGACTGCACAATGTCTTTACTCGTGAACAGTGGTAAGGGTATCCTACACGGCGAGGCTAGACTGTCTTCAGCTCATGTTCGACCTCAATGGCCCCATGTCATATTAGTGTGTAAGCTAGGCATAAGCCATCACGTCAGGTTTCTGAAATTAAACCCAGCTCAGTCGTATTGTCAGTAATGGACCGCTCATTAACAGAAGAGTGAATTGTAAGCCCACGAAGTGGACTGCAGCTCCCGCCTGCGGTGTGTGCACCCCGAACCAGAACCAGATCGGGCTCAGCCGCGCAGGTGGCAAGACTGTCAACTAAAACCACAGGCTAGAATAGAGCATGCCGCACGATCCCCCCGAGCAGAGCCAGGGACGTGAGCGTGGTTGTGAGCCGTGCAAGTGCTGCTCCTAGCACCCCTGTTCAGAACATGGACACAACAACACCAGGCGATGCCGGCGCATTTGGGATCCAACGAGAAAGAAAACAAGGTTTCGCCCGCACGACAAAATAAGGCCCGCCACCATCCGTGAGCAGCAAAACGTGGCTCCTGAATATTTTATAGTGCAATACACAAACACAATGGGACGACAGGCGTGTTGCTAACAATGTTCCTTCACACTGAAGCGAGCCCCTCTTCACAAAGACCGCAAATAAGGAGACCGAGGACCTGGATTGCGTGCGAACACTACGTTAATCTAGAAAGTTGAAAACATACGAAGGTTACTACAATTCCCCTCAGCTCTTTCGCACACAATACTGTGTGTAACACTTAATGGATCCGAAACCACTGCTTATTGTCCCCCGTGTCCCTGGACAACAGCTTTTCTTACACCAGTGGGGGATAACCCGCACGTCTTCATCTACCTGCCACACGACGAGGAAGGCAAATCATCAGATCAAATAAAAATAAACCCCCCCAAAGGATGTTACCTGATCGAAACGTTTTTCTCTTTCACGGGATCATTTGCTGCCTTCTCCCTCGCGCTGTGGATTTTGCTGGCAGCCATTATAGACCGCCGCGCTCGCGCTCGCTCTCGCGCTGCTTCCCGTGCCAGCGAGCTGCGCGAGTGAGCGAGAGGAGCTCGCGGACCTGCTTCGGAGGAGCTTCCCGGTCCCGGCGCGCGCGCCCGCCCGCCCTAACGGGAAGGAGACGGTAGCTCTGAAACACACGGAAAAGCAAACAAACAAAAAAACACTCCCCAGTGTTTTGGAAGGATTGTTTCTGACGAGTGACCTCTCAAAACGAGAGAAACGTTTCAGGACAATTTAACATCTGGGAGCAGATTAGGGTTCCCCACCCCCTTTTTCCTCCATCACCCAACCCAACCAAAACAAATCTCTCCTCCCTCCCTCTCCCTCCCCTTCCAAGACAAAATATTTGACCAAATATTTTTTTTTTTTATTGAACTATACAAGTGACAAGCTGATACACGAGAAGAAGAGACACTACGATGGTATATTTAATAGCAGGGGGCGACGTCACCCCGCAGCCACGGCCAGAGCTCGTATAAGAAACCATTTTCAAATTCGGTGCACGCGCCGGGCATCGCTCACTCCGATAAGTCCGGAGGGGAGTCATTCAAGAACTCCTTTGCTCAAGGATCGTTTCCCAAAACATAGATCCGCATTTAAATAGTGTAATAATTAATATTTTTTTCTAAATAACACGGTCTATCCTTGTCTAAGATCTGACACGATATACTTTCCGCGAAAACAATTGCGCTGAAAGCCCTCTTAAGAAGTATGGATTGGTTCGCTCCAAGTGGCTCAGGGACGGGTAGGCTTATTTTAAAAGGGTGACAAAGGAGAAAGAAGTGTTTGTATCCTGAAGAAAATGGGGTTCGTCCCTCATTTAAATAGACAGATAACAATAAACCTCACATAAAAAAGGAAGTGGAATACAGAAACGCTGCTTGCTTTACACCTATTAAGTAACGTTTAACGAGAAAGACGCAACCGCCCCCCTTATTTTTTACCCTATGAAATATTCTCTTAAAGGGGCCGCTCCAAAAACAGAAAGTTCACATTAGGTTTTTAATGGGAAATCTTAACAGAAACAAACATATGAAACCTCCCAGGCAATCTAAAATGGCTTACCTGATAATGTTAGAAACAGCTCATGTACACTGGAATGGTCATACTGTGACACATATATTTCAGATCTGGTGTCTTAAATAAGGGGTTCATGGAAGTTCACAAAATGTTTAGTGGGACTAATCTTCAATCGTCAATTTAAATCTATACATAAAATCTATCAGCGTTCCATATGTTTAAAATAACAAAAAAGTAATGAAGAAACACCCCACCAGAGATCCAATCCCAACCTGTTCTCCTTTCAGGAAGGGTTGAAGTACAGGGGTCAAGGGTCAAAGAGCCTGGATTTACAATATTACAATATTTAAACCGGTGGTTCCCACTTCTCCAGTCTGGTGAGCTGGGCATCCACGTCATAACTGTCACATTCTCATTTCGCAAGAGAACCGACGTTGCATCTCTCTTACCCCGATGAAACTGCGCATAAAGCTTTTGGAACATCTAGAGTTTTCATTCTGAACCGCCTGCTCTATAAAGAAAGCGGATGGATATTTAACTTGTCAGTCTCGATGTGTAGTGCATAACGTGGACTGGTTGGAGACTCCCTGGAGAGGGCTGCGAGAGTTTTTGTTGTGTGAGGGTGTGCGCTGTCCCTGCTTCCCTAATGGGAGGTTCTCAAGTCAGGAAGGGCCCACAGCAAGGGCAGCAGGGGATGTCCAGCACTCAGTACTGTGCAGTCAGGCTTCTTTGAGACACTCCAAGTGGAGTTCTGCAGAGACACTGCTGGCCAGGCTACAATATTTCAACCTTCACATCAGTCTTGGGGGAGTGGTGTGGCTCTTTGGTCACCATATCAGGTGACCAGTAATTGCCAGACTGAATATGACTGTAACATCTTGCCAGGTTAGAAATGGCTGTCGGTGAGCAACACTGGACTAACATAGTCCAGCCTCCTATACAATAAGAATGTGAAAGTGTCATTAAGTGGTAAGTTGGACATATTGGTTTCTTTCTGTGTTTTTCTTTCTTGATTTTCACCAGGTCTGACATTCAACACATTAAGCCCTCTCCCATCACCTGTGCCCAATCAATTCTCTCAGTCACAAAGTGATTTAGTGCTGATGCTACAAATTCACTCGAGTGTATCGCCCGGTCAATCATAAATAATCAATTAATCAAACTGAAGCCAAAAACATCAAATCAATATTCAAAATCGGTATGATTTTTTTCTAAAAACACACAACATAGAATAAAAACAAGTTCTTTTTTTGCACGGTATACAGATTTTTTACATTGCAATAGACAAATAACATACATTTTAAGTGAATTGTGACAGAAACACACACTGAACTATTACATGAGTATTAAGCCACTTTCTGGTTTAAATAATGAGAGGAGAGGTACATATTAATATCCTTGATACTTTAGCTAGCCAGCTGGTTTGGCAAGGCTTGTTAAAATTATGCTTCTGGTTGGCGTCACAGACAACAATGTTAACTTCTTTACGCCATGGTCCTCTTATCTCTTCCCAAAAAGTTTTGTATACTTTTTGTACTGATGATGCTCAGACTTTCCTCCCGCTGTTACTGTCTCACAGCCATCTTCTTCTGGAGGCACCGCCATCATCTTCAATCACCTCTTGATTGAGTCTGGCCTCCCTTTCGTCTCATTTCCCCCTTTTGTCGTCCTCTCTCTCCCCCTCTCTCCACCACCGCCCTCCTCTCCCGCTCCTCCTGCAGTCTCAGTGTCCCTCCTGCCCCAGCTGTCTGTTTAGACAGCTCTGTTGATCTCTCCGCTCTCCTCTGCTTCCTTCTTCCACCTTTATAGTGCATCCCTGAAATTCGAACAATTCCCAGACTGTAACTTGATAAGCGCACTTATGTTCTGTAGACATGGGAGACACACCACCAAGATGCTCACATTACTGCTTTGCACCCATGCTGTATACAGCTTTATTTTTTACTGTGTTGCATTTATTTTCTCAATACGTTTTAAATTAAGCTTTCTGAAAGCCAGTTTAAACAGAATGCTGCACTATTCTCTGTGAATCTTCTTTCAGTCTCTTCTACTGGGGAAAGGGTGGACTCTTTACCGTTTACAGAGAATTAAACAAGAGCTTACTCTCTTCTTTCCTAGGTGAAAAGATTGCGGGGTTTTCTGAGGATAGTCTAGGGCCATTTCTGAATTTCCCATGCAGATAAAAAAAAAAACCCCAGAGTAAGAAGCACCAAACAGAAAGTACATATCCTGGATCTTTTAGAATGAAGGCAAAAGACACATGTGGTTCTTATATGGACATACTTTTATTAACTAGAAAGCAAGTTGTAGATGTTTTTAAACACTACGAAACACTGTGATCACAGTTCTGTTTGTAATGCATGCTTCAAATACTTAAAAAAAAGAATAAAAAACCCAAACAATCCCAAAACCCACCTGGTTTGGTTGACACGTGGGTAATTATAAAGGAGTTTAAAAGGAAAAACACCCCAAAGCTGGAGTTTTACACATAAACCTTTGGTTTATAGCAGTAAACATAACTACATTCTTCGGTCACTTTATATACAATCTTTTGATTTATATTAGGCATTTACACCAATAGAACGCACACCTCTGAATGAAATGTCTAATTTAAAAACAAAACAAAAGACACACAATAAAAGCACAGTTACACGTACACAAGGGCCTCTGTGCAAGTCATACGTGTTCCTAAGTTGTGCTTAATATGCAACCCTGAGTATTGTTTAAAATGAAGATGACACTTTGGTGTGTATGGTGTTCAGATAGCAGGGTATAAAGGAGAGTGTGGCTGTTATCTATTTCCCTGCAAGTAGAGGATCTGAAAGCACAACGGTAACTCAAATACCATGGCAGACATATTGCACGTCACCACAGACACTGCATTCGGCGATTTGGTTTCCTTCTTCTTTTACAGGAGTCTTAAAAGCCACACAATCAATTGCAGCAGGAAATACAGCAGAACTGTCCTTACCCCACCCAATATGTCTATTGGAGCAAAAACCCTTTTGTATTCAAGCTTCAGCCTTTTCCCTCCTCTCCTTCTGTAAACAATGGCAATCTGCCCTCTTCCCCTGCCCAGAAGAGAAACACACAAGCCCTACTGATGCTTCAGCACGAGGAACACTTCCCCAGCTGTCGTCCCAGAGCCCAAAATGGCTATAGCACAGACTGCCGCAGGCGAGTAGTAAGGGAAATGTAAGGAAGACTCCCTTCATGTGCACTAAATGAAGTCTTTGACTGTGGGTCCGCAACCTTTACTTTCAACATTAAGCTGATTTTTCCAGTGATAAAAAAGAATAATGAGATCTTCCTAGCTGTCGTGGGTCCTTTGGTTTCTAGAGGGTAGTATTTTCATTAGTGTTCTGAGGCTGTAGAAAAATGTAGAACAGGATAAACTTTATATTTTATAAAGACTAACTCATAAGAAAAAACATACCACCCACTGAACACCTTATTCCCTACAATCCTGATTTGGACCTGGCCAGTAGAACAATCCCCTGGGGTATAAACCATTCTTATCTGACAAGAGATGGAGCCACAAAACCTTAATGAGAGGAAGAAGCCCGAGTCTCCTTTCAGGTCCAGAAAGATTTTCTTTTTTCCCCCCACAAGGAACTACTCTGATTCCAAACCCTAGGACAGAGTTGTTCCATAGCCACTGTCAGGTAATGTCATTAGTAATGAGATGGGGTGCTCACTTCCCTTCCTCAAGGGAAGCAAGAACCAGATACTGGAAGGGACAGTTTAAAGCAGCCAATCAGTCCCACTCTGCCAAGCAGCTGGGAGTTGGGAAGGTATCTGAGTGCACAGAAAAGGAGCACAAAAAGACAGAGAGAGCATGCAGGAGGGTAGCCAGTTCTGGAGTCAGGCCTGCGAACATGGAGATGCAAGCTAGCAGTGATAACACTACCACCCCTCCTTGCTGTCAATATAACTCATGATCAGTATGAGGAAGGAGAACAAAGCTATGCTAACCAATACCATAACCATTCTGGGACCCGGGGGGTACCCTTGACCAAGCAAGACCTAAAGGATGAAGGCCTCTGGCAGCATTTGGCCACACAAGCAGCAGTGAACACACCTGGCTGCCTTCTGTCATCTCAGAACACACACGCAGGACTAACTCGACACCAACGGCCACCCATCTGGGCAGAGAACTGCATGCACCGGCGCTGGCACAGCTGGCACAGCGTGTGTGGACACCAGCGCGAGGGAGGAAAGAAGATTCACACATCGACACCCGCGCTGCACAATTCTGGAAATGTCAGACATCACAAAAAACAAAAACAAAACAAAACTTTCTACACGGGAAAAAAGGACAATGTTCTGGTTGCCCCAGTGCAGCAAAACCCAAAGGGTAACTACAATGGAGGCGAATTGCCTTTGTCCCTATTCACACTACAATATCCTGAGGTAGACCTGTATAGATTGCTTACAAGGTTTTTCATCTTGTTTTCATTTATAATAAAAAAACAAACCCACCACCACAACACAACACTAGGACACAACGGGAGGAATCGGGAAGCATGGTGTTTAGTACATTCCTAAATCATCCTAAATCACTGGTAAGACGCTGCACAGTTTGTCTGATACAAGACTTACTACAATCTTACTGTAAATGTCATATTTATATTTGAGAAGGCCTTCCAAGCTAGGAAAATCTTCATACCTTGCAGGATGAGCCTATGCCATATTTTCTAGTTCTGTCTCCACTGAACTCTCAATAATATGTCATCAAGTCATAATTATGCTGCCCTTCCGTCCCGCTGTGGGAAAACTGCACCTACTCTAATCCCCCTAAGGACTGAATTACAAAAGAGGAAAAACATCATACAATAGAACAGTAGTATCTGTACAATAATCATATACAAGAGCAGAGTGCAACAGATCCACTGGACTTAATGCATCATGATTATATGGAGGCATATCGAAAGATTATATATTTTATATTAAAAAAAGAAAAGGTTATTAAGCATTCATTTCAAATGTCTCAGTGCTATAACTTATAAAAGGTGATAAACTGAAGAACACTATGCAAACAGACAAATACTGCTCCCTGGTGGTCAGAGTGAGTATTTCCCATCAAAAGCTGAAATGATTTCAAATTTGGGAGTTCAGTATTTTTTATATGTTTAATTTTAAAATAAGAATTTTAAATCTGGTTTTAACTAGGATCATCTTAAATTCTTCCAAGGAAGTATCCTGGTAATCTTTCAAGAAACTGGAACTCCACAACATTCAGATAAAAATAAATTACCATTTTGACCATAACCCCAGACACCTTGTGTATCCAAGATGCATTTTGGAAATAAGGAAAAGAAACATACATAGTTAAAGATTATATCAGCTGATTTGAGCATCAGTTTCACCAATTAAAATAATGAGTTAAAGTCAGATTTAGCACTTATTGTGTTGTTTCTATTCAGCAATATTTGATTTGTAACAAAGAAATAAGCACTGTCATGGCTGGTTAAGCAAATTTGTGCCTGTAAACAGCTTAATACTACTGTCAAGGAATATCTACAAAAGGACCATCTGTACAAATAGATGACAGATCTTAACTCTTAGACAAATCAATACGTGCTTCAACTAATAAACACAGCTCTTTTTAAATATGTCCAAAATCACAAAAATACACCTACAACCTTATTTAGCCTGTTGTAATAATCAAGTCCTTTAGCCACTGCTTTCAAGTGTGCTGTACTGAGGACTGCTGACTGTTGCACTTGCTCTTCTTAAAAAATAAAAAACAATAACAACACTTTTCTATGCACAACCAAGATATGATTTTGAAAAAAAGATTTTTCACATCTTTGGGCATACAAGCAGGTTCTTTTGTCCCTAACTTTTTACAAAAACACAAAATACAAACCGAACAATTATGAGATTCCATTGTGTGTAGGAGACTATTGGAAAGGGTGGATGTCAGAAAACACATCTTACTACTGACAACAGCTCCTAGCTCCCAGAACACAGCAGCGATTCTTATCTGGTGGAGATTTGCCTGCTTTTCCAAGCAAATGTTAAGTTATTAATGGATCTTTTTAGTCTTTTCAATAACTGGAATTTTTAAATATATTCCTGTTTCCAGTACACTACATTCAAAATATAAATATACACAAATCAGAACAGCTGTGCTCAAGACAGAGTATGTTTATGGCATGGGTTAGGTCAAAGTTCATCCTTAAGCTACATAAAAAAACATGGGAGGCCATGCTTTTTTGTTAAACGTTACACTCCAGAATTGCAGTCCCCAGTCCCCTAGTTATTAGAGCAAAGTAAGACGTGATATTCTACACGCAGTGTCAGAATAAAACATCCAGAAATTTTCTGGTGTTAATGTTTCACCATGTAAGAGCTAAAACTGCTCTCTTATTTAAAATCAAATGTTTGTCAAAACCTGTGCATTTGATCAAAATGTGTTTGTCGCACAAATCCAATTAAGAGGGCTGTTAACTTGGTTTATGTCTGCAAACTTAATTTGCTTCAGGAATGGCTATGCTTTTCAGAGATTCAGATATGGACTCCATCTTACTGGTGCTGTTTGGCAGTTTCAACGTGTCTACCATTTTTCCACTGAACCACTGAAAGCTAGCAGAAAGCCAGTCGGAAGCTACTGGCCTGTTGTGTGGTAGGTTTAGGAGCTGTATGACAATCACTTATCCACCCTTTCTATTCCTACCGAAACTCCCAAGACCACAGAAGCCAATTTTAGATATCCCTGAGTTTACGTTTCATGATTCCTGAGAAACAAAACATCATTGCAGTCATAAGGATCTTCGGCAATCTTAAAATATACAAAAATACAGAACAAATACTTTATATTAAAAGATAAATGCATCTTACACATGATTAGTGCAGAGTAACATTGCATTGGTTTTAGCATAGATAAAAGGACTTTTTGATGCTCTCAAGTAGAGAACGGTATTGTAGATCAAAGGTAAAAAAACAGATTGAAATGGATGCCGCTCTGAATCACGAGCAAGCATATTGCATCATGTGGTGGAAAAGGCAAACTGTGGGACAAGACAACAGGTCAAACATAAGGAGAAGTTGTTGAGGCATGGCAGCAAATAAATAATGACTTAAAAGTTGTGAATGGTTCAGAAATACTTACTAAACAGATGGGAAGTCTTTGGCTTCTCCTTGATTTAAAAAAGTCTAAACTATCCTTGATGGGTGCCTAGTCACTGGGAGCCAGCCATCCAAGACAAGCTCTTTATTATAAACTCAATCTGGGATAAGGTCCTTTGAAAACAAACCTAGGAAAACACAGACAGTAAAACATGCAGCAATCCCCTGGAGGCTGTTTGGCAATATACAAAAGTGAAAACTTGGTACCCAGCTCCTTTCCATAATGAACTTTGCCACCACCCCTTTTTTCATCCTAAACTATTCTCACTTCTCTCATTTCCTCTTCTCGTGCAGGAGAGCACAGCATGTCAGCTCTTAGCAGGTATACACAGAATGACTAATGGCACAGAACAGCTAGGACAATGGCATTAACTGTTCTGTCCACTTCTGGCATTCTGGCCTCATTCCTCCACGTTTTTCCAGAAGGAAAGCTGATTGCCACATTCCCACCCATTCCAGGTTGATAATGACGGTTTCTGTATGAATCTTTCAATTACAGAATTGAAATGCGACAGGGCTTCATCCAGTCAGATTCCTAAGCAGCCTTCAGTGGTCTGCTGCCAAAACTCAGCCATGGTCATACCTGTCATTTGTCAAACTAAAAACACATGGCTGTTTATCTGCATCCAATCACAAAGACTCTCCTGCCGGTGATGCCTGGCAATAGCTTTCTGGTAAATGGAGGGCATGAGGCTCCCTAGCCTACAGCTCTTTCCTGCAGGGTGTGCTGCATGTGATGAGCAATGCAGATCAGAAGGGGAAAGGAGTTGTGGCACCAGTCTTGGCAATACTGTGCATGGTTCTGTTCAAAGCAATGCCACGTGCGGTAGGTAAACCGCCTCATTCAAAACATTCATTTGGCCCCTGGAAATCCAACAAACAGCACGTCTTTGGTCGATGCCCCCCTCCCCACCCCTGCCCCTCCCAAGAAAAATAGAAACATTCATTCACAACTGTCTCAATCCACGAACTACACCTTCATCATTCATATCGCAAAGGTGTAACAGTCAGGAAAACCATAACCTTTTAGAATTGCTCTTCCTGTTATTCACATGGACAGTACAGTGGGGAAACCAGTGTACCAAAGGTTCATTTTTCCCCATCTGTTTTATCCATCCATTTCCCCAACGGATTATGGGGGAGCTGGAGCCTATCCCGGCAGCCCGGGACGCCAGCCCATCTCTCTCATCTCGGCTCAATTGTACACAACACTTCAGAACGTCTAAAGTTATAATATTAACTGACTTCTTTAAATAAATTGGATTATTTGTAACTTGTTTGGATGCAAATTGCATAATTTAGGTCATTTAATTTTTTGGGTTTAAGACTTCTTTTGTGCACTTTCTCAGTTAACAGATCCCAATGTATTGGTACCCTAAAGGTTTGGGATGAAATCCCTGAAAAACACTGTTGACTCGAAGAGAAACTAAATGAAGTAAAAAAATAAGAGCTTTTAATACTATTTTTTCATGCTTTCTGTAGACTAATTCAATGCACACAGCAGTGCCAAAACAGATCTGCAAAAATGAAGTTTCCTTTAAAGCTATCAAGTGCCAACAGAAGGAACTGACTGAGCCATTAAAAGTAAATCAGTGCCAAAGATCTAAACTCTCCAACTATCCAGCACAGAAGACCTCTGGTCTCCAGCCATCCCGAGCTCTACGTTATATTTGAAACTCACAAACGTTGGAGGAATTTCAAACCAGGACAAACAAGCAATCTAAAAACAGGGGTTTAAAAACTTCTCTTTATAAAAAATAAAGTAAACATAATTCACTTAGAAGCACAGAGGGAACAAGAAACAGACAACTCATATCAATGGGGCCTTCCTCTACACAGCAAATGTATATAAACAAGTAGGAATACAGGCTAACTGATTGTACAGTGTGTGACTGAAGGGTTATTCCTGACTGTTACACCATTACACAGTAAACACTTTTTTGTTGTTCATTTTAAAAACCTGAGGTAGTTCCAAAAGCAGCTATAGAATTAGTAGGAACTTTCTTCTTCTGTGTTCATCTCTTGAGAACTGTGGTAAATCCATCCATTGGACCTTGACACTCCTTGGCCCTGCACCTGCTCCTTGCTCTTCCCTGCTCAATCTGAGCTCTCTGGAGGGAGGGGGGCGTGGCCCTGCTCTTCCTCCTCCCCCTTCAGAGAGGCGGGCCTTCCCTGAGAGCTCGGGGATGATTGCTGCGCTTTGATTGGACAGCTGGCCACCATGTGAGAGATGCTTTGGCAGAAATGGCACTTCTTGGGCTGAGGAGGGAGCTTGCATTCCTTGGCATGGTGGTCCAACCCACCACAATTATAGCACCTGCAACACAAGAACCAAGACCAGACCCTGTTATGCAAACCTCAAAGATCAGAGACTGGAGACAGAAATGAAGACACTGGGCATCCATCGTCAGAAAGTGGCTTATCCTCGGTAAGGGTCATGAGCCCAGAGCTCATGCTGGAAATGCAGGGCACAAACCAGGCTACACACGGGGACAACGAGCCCACAGAGAAAAGCCATAGAAGAACACACAAACACAATACACAAGGTACCTCAAACAAGAAATGAACCCAAGGCCAAAATTCTGGGGGCAGCTAACATTTTTCTGCTTTCATATTTAAAGCAGAGGAAACAGTAATGGTAGTTGCAATTGATTAACATCTTAGAACATCCCCGAATCGTTATTAAAACTCAGCATGTACCATTTAAGTTTAAAAGTCTCTACGATCAGATGTTCGTTACAGTAATCATTGAATTATACACATTCTAATTCATTAAGACAAATGATGTAAGTTATGCTTAAGGATTAAAAATCGAAATGCAACAAAAGCAAAGCCGACCTTCAAATACTGTACACACAACATTAAAAGGAACAAACATTAACCACTAGCGTTTACTAAACACTCCCTTTCTTCTTCACACCACTAGATGGAAGTACACATTCACTAATAAAATGCCTATGCAGTCTTTTCAGTGCAGGTCCCTCTGAAAATAAAATGCTGTGATTCTACGATGTACTGCATGTGTCATTTTATTCTTCTAAATCACATGGTGCAGAGCTGAAGAGCATGACTGATGGCACACCTCAGTGATCCTGAGTGATTACTGACAGCAGCTTTAGTTATAAATTGTTAGACCTTTGAAATGGGGCTAAAACAATACGGGTATGGAACTCTTCCATTTCCAATTTTGAAGACGTAGTTGTCATATTTATGTCTGAAGATTGTTCACAATCTTAATTACTGGTTAAATAAAAGCTACCACCCAGTCACATTAATGTCTTTATACATGCAGAATTTATATTTATCAGGCTGTCGAATATCTGAACACATTAGTGCAAGCAAGCCCAGTATCTACAGTATATCTACATGAAAACCCATTTTGGAGGTGAAGTTTGTTTTGCTTTGGCTGTGTCAGGTGTACAGTACACGAGAATGGCACGGCGAGTCTGAACTGCCACCCTGGCGTTCACCGGTGTTAATAATATCTCACAAAAATTGTCAGCAGTGGACAGAAAGGATGCGCTGTTCGTACTAGTCCTGTGGGAGCCAGCTCTTCGCCGTACGGATGGCCCACAGATCTGGGAGCTGTGATGTGCCGATCACATGGAGGTTAGGTGCGTCCTGCTCAGTGCTGCCTTTTGTTCCTCGCTGGGCAAAGCAGCGAGGTTGTCATTGATCAGAATGCATGCGGAAGGGACCAGTTCTCTTTGTCTCAGTACTGCAGCGTGACCTCTGAACTCTGACCCACACTACCCCCACCCCTCTACACACACACTCTGCAGTTGCTATGGCAGTGGTGACCCCTGACCTTTCTCAGGCACCTACATCTGTCATTAATTAAATGGACAGGATCTTTTTCAAACGAGACCTGCGACACCCACAGCATGTTTGTGATATTGAGCGGGGGGCAGTTATAAGGATTTCTTAAATATTACAATGGGGGAAAGATAAAAATGTGCTTCTATTTTCTTAGATGATTATAAATCATTCGTCAAAACGGCTTTTCTTATTTCTGCATTTACGCGACACACTGATACTGTTGACATCAATACCCTAGTTTTATTAAGGATGAGGTGATGAAAATCTGTTCTGAAATAACAGAAACCACAAAAGGTAAAAACTGGGTTATTTCTGTTACCAATCCTCCCTAAAATCCGTACCAGTTTTTCCTACCTGTATTACACGGATGGCAGGTCCTACAAGTCACTCTTCAATACTCATTTTATTTTATAAAGACTTGGGAAACAGGCATTTTGATCAATTTAGGTAAATAATTAGATTCAATGAAGTCAGCAATGACCAGATGAGACCTACAGGGTGCTGGGAGTTTCATTTCAAACCATCTCTAAACTAGTCAATTGCAGGAATCACTTAAATAGTCCAAATCAGATTTTTCCATGCGTTTTAAAAAAGTGACAATTTGAGGGTTTGCAAAAAAAAAAGGACACTTAGTAGACAAATATGAAAAATTGGCCATTCGACACCTACAGGAAAAAATGACAGATTCCTCCATTTCCGAATATTACATGACCAATAAAGAGCAGTCAAGACCATTCTGAATTCCGGGATGCACCTGAGTCCAGCTGTCCCATGGGGGCGGGAGTCAGGCCCGCTCGAGCCCACAGACCTCTGTCACAGTTTCTCACACTGGGAGCGGGGGGAGTTACCTGTCCCCTTTGGAACGGCGTTTCTGGATGCTCTTCCCCTTGGGCCGGCGCTCGCTGCCCACGCAGGGGACCCCGCCTGGCCCCGTGACCCGCAGGGACTCCAGACCCTTGGCCGACTTCTTGAAGGTGAACTCCACCACCTCCCCTTCCTTCAGGCTGCGGAAACCCTCCATGTGCAGCTTGCTCTGAAAGCACAGGAGGACGACCGTCAGTCACCAGCACAGGCAGCAGGCAAAACAGCAGGCTTTTTTCTTGATTTAACTGAGTGCCTTAAACCAAGCAAAATAGCACTACTGTAACCACTGTACACAGAATGATGGGTAAAGTGATTCAGACCACATTAAACTACAGGCAACATAATTTCATATCAATGATTCCTCTGTACTCTGAGCTCCATGAGCTATGGATGTTTTATTTTGAACTGAATTTTGACATTCTCACCGCAACTTATAATTCACCGTGCTTTCATTAAAAGATCAGTTCTTTTGGCCAGATTAGTTCTTACCAATGAGCTAGATGGGCAAAATAAGTCTCTCTCCTTTGTAATCTTTTATTTTCTTTTGATGCAATATTTGAATATTTAAATCCAATACCACTTTAACCACAAAAGGTTAAGATTCAAACTGGGGTTATTTTGCTCATGAATGTAAAAAGTGTTTACTGTACATCCTATAGTGATAAAGATTCACAGTGAGCCTGGCCAATATAGTGATGGAGATCAGGCTCTCAGTCTGTATAACTACCTATTTTTCTTACACAAGCCTATGCCTGTGTGTCATGGCACAAATTGAAGACACAAACTAGATGGTACGCCAGGTATATTTCACAGTCCTGGGACTTAGCAGGCAAAGGCACCAGTCCGATTTATCTGTTTGCCTAAATAACAATCTGTAAAAAGGGCAGAATCTGAGGTGGGAATTAATTGTTCTCCAGAAACAAAAATCAAAAATCTGAAAAGACCCAGCACTGCAGTTGCACAACAATCGTATATAATATTCATTGTATTGTAATATAAAGCTGTTCTGGAAGAGGAAGATTAGTTCTAAAAGAAAGGACAAACTGACTTGTTTGACTTCACATATGGGGAATAAGGGAAAAAATGGTACAGGTCGGGAATCTCGTGCATGAAATTCCAACCATGAAAGAGGAGGAAATCCTTAGGATGCTTTGAGTCCCGAAAAGAAAATAGGACCCAGTGATGCCCTCTCCTCCCCCTCTCCAGAGCTCTGCAGACCTGAGGAAGCAGCTCCCCCCTCTTGCCCCTAACCAATCGCAGCATTCCCACCCCCATCCACACAACCAGGCTCCAATTCATTGCGAAAGGAGTCCATCTGGTCAAGCCCAAAACTGACCAGGGACAAAGACGAATTGGGGGGGGGGGTGGGACATTCCTGAAATACTTCTCGTTACAAAAAAAAACGTGCAAGAAGGAAACCACCTTGAAGAGCTAGATTAGAGCTTTGTTTCTTTTCCAGTTGGATAATGCCTACTTTCCCATCTTGAAATCCCGATAAGTCTCTGTGATTCAACTGCCGATTTCTCTCCAAGTGAAAGATTCTCAGAATGGGCATGTTCCTAAAAAGGTGTCTCATAGCTCACTGTAAGGCTATGGCCTGTGGAAACGTATTACAGTACGTACAACACCTTGTTTCCTTGCTTTCTGCTGCTCAAGCCAGGCCTGGTGCATATCTGAGGGTGGTAAGGATATGCGTCAACTGGGAAGGGGGAAGGGGATCATGCGGACGACATTTATTAGGATGTGTAGTGGCAAATTAAAAAGATAATAACTACTTTTGTTCAGGAAGAAGTCCTGCCAGCGTGGCTGACTCAGAATAGCAGGCTCATGGGACAAGCACACAGACGTTTACGACGGACACTAAAAGCTGTTCCAGGCATACCGAGACTGAGCTCAGGAAAATCTTGATCGGCCTGAGGCAGACTTTAGGATAACTGAAGGCTTTGTTGTCATCTGCGTTCTGTTGGATTACGATCAAGAGATCTAAAGTGATAAAAATACATTTTCCTCCCAACTATGCTTAAAAACGCGTGTTCCAAATTGGATTTGTGATTGATGACGATGATCTCTGGCAATCAGTCCCCAACGTCTTCTTTCCTCTTAATATAGCCACATGTTCCCTATGAATCAGTCACATGATTACACTGAGCAACAGCTCAACAGAAACATCATTTAAGTAAAATATGTACACTTTTTTAATAGGCAGAGCATGTGGCATTTTATTAAAAGAAAATGTACATTCCTACAGGATTCTAATTTGTTGAAAGCTGCACATTTCCGTTAACGTAAATAAAAATGCAGTGAATTGAATAAATCTAGGAGATATACACAGTATAACAGTAATATATATATATAACAGTTATGCCAATTTTTGCAGTGTAACAGAAAAATCATTTTCAATGGCGTTTTAACCTATGCATTTAAATGACTTCTTGGCACATACTTTTCTTTATTTCAGTAACTTACAATTGATGTTCCTGGATTTTATTCAAATTAAATTTGTTATTAATGTGTCTTTACTCCAAGTATGATGGAATATTTGCTTCCAGAAGTATGTAGTATGCAGTTATCTATCCTCTTTTTGCTGTTTATAATCTGAGGAAAGGTGGTGTTCTTTTAAAACAACGAATTTACCTATCCCGATAAAATATACAATCCTGACTTTATATCAGGGTCCCCGATCCGAGCATTGTTATCCCAAAGTCACTCACTTATAAACAACATTGCACTTTACCATTAACATTATATGAATTAACCTTTTACAGAGGTCTTTTAAGTACACATTAACAAAAGGTCTGGATATAAAATTAATAATTAATAAAAGAAAAAAAGTATTAACCAGAATGTGTTATAAATAAAGTTGCTTTCTTCAAAATGATATTGCTCTCAATTTCAGCCCTGGAAAATGGGAAACTTAAGGCTTTGCTGCTCAAAAATTAAAGATTTTAGAGGATAGTAGAGGAGAAACAAAACTTCAAAACAATTCACAGTCCTCTGGTGTACAAGAGGCATTGAGCATCTTAGGAGAAATCAATTAGAACAGACACTTGCAAAAGATCCAAAAAACAAGAATGTGAGTTATAAACTTGTCCATATTTAAAAAAAAAACAAAAATGTGCAAGAAATAACAGCACTAGCAGCTGGGTACAAACTATTCTATACTGTACAGGGGCCTCCCAAGGAGCTCAACTAGCAAGAACACTCTCTCGATTGCAGGTTGAGCTGTAGGATCACAGGTTCGAGCCTGGGTCATGTCACTTGCCGACTGTGATTGGGATTGCTCAAGCAGCATCAGTCAACCAGGGCCCTGCTACCTACAAGTCTCCTTCTGCCCTGGGGTGCTGTCAGAGGGGGACACGTCTCACCACCAGTCTGCGCTGTGTGTGCCCATAATGTGTTAAAAGACAAAAGGCACAAACCTGGGCAGATCAGGAATCTGCCTGTCTGCTTCCTCATTCTGCCTTGGGATGAGCTTGTGTGCATCATAGTCAAAAAGCAAAAAAACATAGGTGGGTAAAACAAAAGTAACTAGCAATTCTAAATTTATAAAAAAAATATCCCTTCTACTGCGTGCTGTTGACTGTGCTTAAAGGGCACAGTCTTCACTTTATTGAAGGTAACATTGCCTTGTCTTTGCATTCAAAAGCTGGTGGGTTGCTGGCTAGTAAAATCCTGTATGTGCCCGATCAGCAAGGCTGGAAACTGGGACCATCAAGTTAATGCTAAGCTGGTGTCAACAGGAGAGTCTATGAGAAAGATGGATGGTGAATTTACAGCCTCCCTGCTTTAAGTAGCGCTGAGACACCAAGACTGCAATAGAAAACGTAGGCTTTTGAAGTGCTTTCACAGTACAAGCTGCAACTCAAACTCAATTGCTTGACAACCCCAAACTCCATTCCCCTTTAACACGTCCCAAGACAGCCCCTTCCCTTTTCTTCAGAGTGTTTTTGTGAATGAACACCCCCCCCCAACCCCCCAGCCCTACACACATACTCCTTATTCAGAGCCCTGCCACTCAATAACAGATCACATGCTCCAGGATTTCCTCTTCCACACTGACAATGGAGGGCATTGTCCATTGGGTCCTGCAGGTTTCATTCCCAGGGACCAGTATGAGAATTATTAATCTCACCAGGAAAGAGGTGGGGAGGGGGGGTTAGAGAGTGAAGGGGTAAGAGGAGTGGGGGAGGTTTCCAAGGGGTCAAATGTTAACTGATCACTTCTTTAATTTGGAATTGTGGAAATTTTAAGCTCGGCCTACCTCACAGTCCCAGCTTCTCCCTGACCAACAATGTGCCTGTCCTTTTCAAATCCCCCTTCTCTGCGTGAGGCACATCTCTGGCCCAGCTGTGTAAAGGGAGGGCCGAGAGAAGAGTCAGCACGCCAGATTCAAAAGTTTATATTTAGACTATACTATATAATGACTTGGATTAACATTGATTTGGGCAATCAGAGCCTAACCCATCAGTGACGTGCACAAGGGATACACCCTGTACAGGATGAGAGTCCATCACAGTGCACACACAGACACGATCACAGACATCAACACACCCATCACACCTGGGAGGATTTTACGGAAGCCAATTAACCATGCGGTATGTCTTTCCAGAAGCCAGAGCACCTGGAGGAAACCCATGCAGACACTGGGTGAACATACAAACTCTATGCCACCCCCTTTACCCATGTGCCACTTTCCTAGAAAAAAAAATCGGTTCTAGTAACAAATTTCTAGACAACCTGACTCTCTAGATAGAAAAGTTGACCAAGCCAAATACCTTGTGGCAATCTAAAATATCCCAGTTAAACCAAACATACTTGAGAAGCTAATAAGGGCAGCTGGAAAGGGACGCAGTGCTCATCCACCCTATGGAGCAGCTCAGCTGGTCTTCGAAATGCAGTGAGAATTGGATGCTCTTATGTGAGTCGAGGCTCAGAGCCACACCTGAAAACCTCACTGAAAAATGAAAAAAACGGGAAATAAAAGCTGCCAGTGGAGGTGGGAAGGCACAAGACAATCTTTTGAAGAATCCTGGGCAGTAAATTGTTTAATAAGGAACCCAAAGGCCAAACACATAACTGGAACCTGAAAGCCTTTAATTACTACACCTCAGGTTTAACTGGAACCTGAAAGCCTTTAATTACTACACCTCAGGTTTATCTCACAGACAG